GATGGAACTAAAAGATTGGTTCTTTGTTTGAAAATATGTTTCTGGTTTACATTTTGGTTAACTAACGAGCAACAGAGAAATTACTACCATCCCTGGGTAGTGTTTTTTTTTTCTGCCTAAAAATGAATAACAAAATGAAAAACATATCCGTCCACTGCTTTCTTGTTCCTAGTGTCTGCCACAGTTTAAGAAATGAAGATGCATAAAGTCAGCTCAGCATTAGATATGTAGAAATATACAACACTTACTTTGAAGAGTTTTAAACGGTACTGAGATGTAATAGTTGGTGTTTTTATGCTGCTCTTCCCCTCCATCACTTCACAGTCACCCTCATGTCTCTGTGGCATCTTGTCTTCCAGCACTACCTGACATGTTTCAGCGGAACCATCGCCGTGCCGTTCCTCCTCGCCGAGGCCATGTGCGTCGGCTTCGACCAGTGGGCCACCAGTCAGCTCATAGGGACCATCTTCTTCTGTGTGGGCATCACCACCCTGCTACAGACCACGCTGGGCTGCAGGTACACAGCATAAGGAAACGCTTCCGTTCAAACACTAAACCGCAGCCTTTGCGCAACAGTAGATGGTACATTCTACGTCTTTGAGTTTGTCCCGCCTCCCCCCCTACTTGTTCCTCTTACTTCCACAATATCTCATCAGTAAGCACCACTTAAAGACAAGCACCATTGTCAACGTAAAGTTCCCCTTTCTCCATCCTTCCTCTTTATGTCAGTCTCGAGTGTGCACGAGGGCGCCATAAGTAGATGTTTACATTCTATTTTTGTCGTTGAAGATCCATAGAAATCCCCCAGAATGAGTCAGTTTTAACGTTCATGAATAAATCTCACAGATAAACTAACGCAGCATGTGTTTTGGTAGCAGCTTCTAAAAGCTTTGAACTGTAAAAGCAGCGGTTTCTTGTGCCTATTTTCTGTCAAAGTATAATAAGTATACAACATTTTAGGTTCTGGGTTTTGTTTCTGAACACTTGAAAGGAACCCAGCCCTTAAGTCGCTTCTAATTTATGAATAAAGACAACGGCTCTGAGACAAAAAAGATTCCAGAAAACCAGCTCATGAGGCATTTAAGTGCACACCAGGAGATTGAGCTACATGTGGTTTAACTATTGTATAATTTCTGGGCAAGCCAAGTGAACAACACTGAAGCTATAATCGATTAAACACACAGGCATGTCTTTGTCAGCCGCCAAGAGGCCAGACCAGTGTGCACATGTCAGGAATAGCTCATTTGACCCACTTTCCCTTGGCTCCTCTCACTCATTTGTCCTTCCTCCTTCCTCCAAATGTCTTTTATTTTCCTTTTGTCCTCATCCTGCCTTGAGATACTCAGTCTTCTGCATTGATCGAAAGCAGAAGGTCTACATCGCCTTTTGCTTTCCGCTGTTCATCAATAAAGCCGCGCGTTAACAACGTGGAGCGTGTGCTTCGTAACCTTTGATTGAACCGTGAGGGTTATATCACTCCAATCGCTGGCCAATAAAATGTCATGGGACGTTACCTGTTGCTATGGATATTATCCCATCCTACTGGTCTCGTTTTAATGAAAGCTGGGTCATGCTGGCACAAGGTGTTATTTTTCTTTCATAAAAGAGAAAGTAGTTCACGGACTCCTTTTCTTTCTTTTCTTTTTTTTTTCTTTTAATAAATCTAATCTTTCTATCTTGACGTAGCAGATTCTCCGTCTCATTATTGTTCCCGGTGCGCAGCAGCTGCCGGCCAAAAGACCTCATTCAGACGAACCCAGACAGACATTCGCTGTTCTTTTTTGACATTATTTCAATGGCCTTCACTGATGATTACAATAATGTCCAAACACTGGCCCACCTTGGAATTTTCATTACTCCATGTTTTAGTGGGAAGTCCCGAAAACATTTTTATTACATTTTTATTGAAAGACATGCGGTGGCTTTGAATAGAGAATAAAAAAAATAAGCAAACTCTTCATGGGAAATTCTCATAGAGAAGAACAGAGTGTATGTCAGGAAGCTGGTCATCGGCTGTCCGGAACACAAAGCGGATCATTTTAAATTCTGATGGGCTTTACTTATTCATGCTGTTTGTTTGTTCTCCTTTTCATATCGCGGCTCTTAAGCTAATAGCAGTCATTGTAGGTTTGATACCTGCAAAAACAAACAAACAAAAAAAAAAGGATAATTACAGTTTTATCTGCTGAGTTATCTGGCCTTGAACTCCACCAGCCGTATCGGTGCTGACATGTTTTCAGAAAGCCGTGTTCAAATTCATTCAGATTCGTTATCGGACCTCAGAAGACGGCCTTATCTTTATTGGCAATTTTGTTATCGTCCCAGGTGCAAGAATGTTGTGATCGTGTCCTCTGTTTTTGTTGATTAGTTTCTTTCACTGATAAGTAAGTAGGATATGCAGAAGGCTGGTAGTGAAGAGAGCGCCCTCTGTTGGACACCATTGCAACACCAAGTTATGACAGATCAGATGTCAAGTTAATAAGAGTGAAAATCCTAGATGGTACATTATATTTTAAAGGATAATCCACTTGTGTAGTATTGCATTTCCATAAAAAAGTTAATTATTAGCAAAAAAAAAAAAAGCAGTAAAAGTCAGATAATCTTTGGTCTTCCTGTTCTTTTCTTTATCTTTTGGCTCCCAAAGGCTTTGTTCTTGTGCTTTCCTCGTATATGTCCAGTCGTCTTCCATTTACACCACTAAAGCAGCTGACCGAGAATAGTGGGAATTCTCTGTAAAGGCCTTATTCACCACAAGGCGTCAAGCAGATAGATCAGATTTAAAAGAAATGGTCAAAATTGTTTTAACAGTAGCAAAATGTCTTGAATTTTAGGCCCTAATACAGTCTTTTCAAGCTGCAGAAACACTCAGTAGTATCGGGAGAAACGCCCACGCTGTTCAAATTTTACAAAGATTTTTTTTGTTATTGTTGGAAAAATAAGAAGTCAAAGGGTCAGAAATAACCCTGATGACGTTGATATCAGCATTTACTATCAGCAATATGAACCCTCTAGGGTCAACAATTTAGATTTTCTTGGTGAATCAGATCTCCTACTGCATAAAAATAAACCGATTAAATTCCATATTGTAAAATATATGAGTTTATGTGCTGCTGCAACACCATGTGATATTATTATAAACGAAATGCGGTTTGAATTTATAGCATTTTATTCATTTAACAACACCAAAAATGATGGAGGTGTGTTTGGTTGTTTGCAAATTTGCAGCCCAAAACAAAAGAAAATCCAAAGCTAGAAGAAAAAAGGCTTCATTTTTTGCCTCATTATAGCAACAACGGGGAAATTCCAAAACGCACTGCTTGGCAGAGATCGCCTCGCAAATTAAAGGTTAGAGGCTGTCGTCTTTCCTCCCGTTCTTACTCGGCTCTTCCTCGTTCTCAGACACAAAGACGGAGAGGATTCTGGTCTTGGCTTCGCCGTGAATGGCATTCCTGTCACACCAGCAGCCCACTCTCTGTGAGGCGGTGCTGAGCTGAGGTGACAGACAGAGCCCATCTATCCGTCTCTCTGTGTTTACTGTCTCCAGAGAAATGTCAGCGTGTGTGCGTTACAGTCCACACTGTGGCTGTTTGTACCGCACTCGCATATTGGTTAAGGAATTACAAATACTATAATAAAGTGCAAAGTCTCAGCTTTAATTTAAGTATGTTTACATTAATATCTGTAAGAACTGTGTGGGAGATTCAGCCCATCTACTACTTACATGCACCGTTTGTAGTGTACCAGATGTCAGCACACATTCACAGTCGCATTTCAATGTCCTTTATATTTTTAGTTAAGCTTCACAACTATCGCACGCCACACTGCTTCTCCAAACCACACACATTCATGAGCACTGGACATTTTATTTTTAACTAACTTGTCTTGACTGAATATGAACCTCTCCAGTCAAAAATGTTGTTTTCTAATTGCAGCTTCACTGTGATGTTTAAGCACAGAACGAAATATGTCCAGAGTTTGTTTTTATCACACACACTCAGAAAAGTGAAGGAGTGACCTCTTGTATCAAACACATTTCAACATTGATGGATGAATGAGCAGATTATTTGTACGTCTTATGTCTGGAAACACTCTTTTCAAGACTCTCTCTGGTAAAAATCCTTTTTTTTTTTTTACCTTGGTAACCTGCTGTATGTAGTTTTATTCTGTTTACTAGAACATATCGTTTCATTTCCAACTTGAAACTGCAGCGTAGCGACGACGGTCCTTAAAACATGGTGTCAGATTTCAAGCGGTTCATACGTTACAAACCCAAGGAACCAGTCCTGTCAACTCGTGGGGTGATGATTTCCGTATCATTACTCTGATTTTGGATCGATTTAAACCAGGGCTCTCAAACTCATCTTACCGGGGGGCCACTGGAGATAAGAGTCTGGCTGAGGCTGGGCCGCATCAAGTATTCCACAAAAGAAGTAAAACTGATCCAATGTTCTCAATCTTTATTAACAACAACTCAGAACATGAACGGTCCTTTATAACATAGACTCCTCTTACCTACTCCTACCTACACTTCCTCTTACACAGCTGAGTCACATTTGGCTTGAGGGAGGAAGCAATTGAGACCCTCAGTATGGCTTGAAGATGCTCATCAGTAAGTTTGGACCTGTGCTTTGACTTCATGGTGGAGAAGAGCTTTTCACACAGACAGAAAAAACCATGCATTTGCACTGGATGACACTAGGGTGTATGTTTCCTCCACTCGGTGACACTCCCCAATCACATTTCAAGTGGTTAATGTTGCTAATTTGCGGTGTTGACACGAGCCTGAGGTATGCTAGCCCACAAGTGATTAAAAAATATGCAACGCCCAGGGCAACGACTCGTGTAGGTGCGTGTGAATAAAATGCGTGGGCTGCACTAACGTTAAACTTTGATGTCAAGTAGGGGGCAATGGTGGAGTTATATCGAAGCCATTTGGGGTTTTTTTTATGGGAAAATTCCAAATATGTCTCTTTGGTACACAGAGATGAATTTTTAGGTGTTAAATGGAAACTTTTGGTCCCATACACTAAAAACTGGACTTCTCAGACGTCTTGTGTCAAACATATTGACAGATTGATAGATTCTGGAGTTTTGAATGCAGGAGAACAATGTGGAAATTACTTTTATTTGTTAAATAATGTCTGGAAAGGCTCTTTTAAACATCCCCTTCCAGTGAAAGTCAAGTCTTGTTAACATGTCAATATGCAGTTTGTTTGTTTTTTATGTGCTTGAAGCTTTATTATCAGCAAAATGTCACAGCTGAGCACATCCGCCTGGAAACTGTGGGACCAATGATGGTCTTCAAAACAATAACAGACAGAAAATGTTATTCGAAATCGATTTTTTTTCGTCTTGCAACATGTTTGGAAAGTAAAATGTCTCGTCTAGCCTCATGTACCGGCCCACGAGACGGTTCGCATGTCCAAAAAGAAATCTGTTGAAGCTCATTACTAAAATATGTCTTTGGCAGTTTCATTTTCTGATGACGACCATAAAGAAGGACGACCGGTTAAACTAGACGATCTGAGTCCTTGCTCAGGTTTCCTCAAATATTCACGATGAGTAGAATGAAGTGGAAGAACACAGAATGGCAGTTCAGTTTAATTATTAAGCTGTTAAACAGTATTTATCATGTGCATGTAAGAAAAATGTTAAGTTGTTTTGATGCCACATCCTCAATGTGGAGGGACGGTAAAGGAGCATGTGCACAGCAGTGAAGAGATGGAGATGGGGAGGGGATACGTGGAGCGGTTTGATGAGTCACGGTGCCAAGTGAGGTCGATCAAAAGGGGCAGAAAAAAAAAAGCACAAATGCTTTTCCAGGAAAGGTGAAGTGTACGAGCACGTGTTTCCCCCGAGTGTCATGTCTGTGTGTGTGCAGCTGCCACCTGCAGACATGTGACTCGTGGAGTGCACTCGAATGTGAAATGATTCAGTGTGGACTTACTGGGGTTTTTTTTTTAAACTCTTCTTTATCCTTGCTGCCTTTCATTTGTTAGATTTTTATTTCTGAAAGCAAAATAGAGCGACTGAATGTGTTTTTGAGCAAAGAAACAAGCGGAAACAAGCAGGAGAACAGCAGTCTGATGCCTTTTTTTTTTTAATAAACAGTCGGTCCATCCCATTTTTTTCTTTTGATCGAGCAAAAATCAGATCGAAACAAACAGGTGCGCTTCTAATCCGTAACAGTTCATGAATACTCGCTTCCTCTTTCTTAAGAATACACACGTCCTCTCACTTTTCCAGCTTGTTCACACTTTTTAACACTATGTGCATGTTTGTACGAGAGTCGATTGATGAATTCTGTTTTATGGTTTCCCCTCTGCTGTCATGACTCATTACAGGGAGGGGAAATGTAACTGGTTGCTCTGTGTCCTCCTCTGTTTAGCTGACCTTAAGTTCGCCAGCAGCAGACCGGGGGGCAATCTTAGCCCGCACACTGAATGGTATCCAAAAAAAAAAGAGATAAAAATAGAGAGCAAGAATAGCTTGTATCCCACCATGATGACTCTTTATTGGAGGTGGTTCTACACATAAACTAGCAGAGTTTTGACACTTAGTGGTTTGTTTCAGTGATGACTCGAGCTCTGAAAGTGATTTTAAAACGGTGCTTTTCTTGTCTTCAGATTGCCTCTTTTCCAGGCCAGCGCTTTCGCCTTCCTCGCACCAGCTCGAGCAATCCTGTCACTGGAGAAATGGAACTGCAACAACACAGGTAGAACTCCTGTTGTTCTGTCTTTCCCTCTTGACTCGCTCAATGCCGGCAGTCCCGAGCAATAAAACGTAAACTGTGTGTCTTTTGTCCCAGCCTGCAAAGATGGCAGAGAATTAGTGGGATTAGCCGGTTTATATCTGTGTGCTCCAAATGAATCTCTAGAGTTATGATTCACGTAGTGGTCTTACGATGTTTTAATTATCTTCTTCGTCTTTCTCCACGAGCAGTGGTCCCAGCGCTGAACAGCACAGAGCTCCTCCACACAGAGCACATCTGGCACCCCAGGATACGAGAGGTGAGGCGAGAACGGGCAAATGTCAAACACACAAACAGACCTGGGAAGTGTGTAAGCCAGAGGATAGACATGTTGGATGATTACCAAATATTCATTGTGGAAAAGCAGGCTGCGTTCAGAAGTAAACAACTTCATTAGATGTTATTCAACCCAGCTTGAATAACTCCTCACAGAAACCTTTACACAACTGTCGTTACATAGTGGGTGTTTCCTAACGATGAACAGAGACGTCACTGTTTCCCTGCACGCTTTGGTTTTGTGTGACAGATGCCGCTAATTTGCGTTAACCTTTTCTGTTCGCATAAGCCAGTTGGGTAATCGCTCTTTGCGTGACACGCGAACGAGGCGAAACTCAATCAGACGGAATCAAACGGCTGAATCGAGGAACACGCAGGTGATAAAAGGCGACAGAAGAGAACACAAAGAGCGATGAAGGCCCCGCAAACGAGATTATGGCTCCCAAACACTGGCTCTGTTGCCACCGCCGCGTCTACCCACGATGCAGACAGCTTATGTTTATTTTTAAATCGCGAATTAAATTGTTCACGTTATTTGGCTAAAGACAGGGGTTTCCCTCAGGCGCCTGGCTGGCAGAGGTGGTACGACGTGTGGTGGTTTGCTGCCAACTCTGACAGCTGTGATGCTTTTTGTCTTATGACCGGTTACCAAAGATGTCTCTAACAGTGGCCTCGTTCATAAATTATGTACACACATTAGCTCCATTTTTGCCTGAATCTTATTAAGCCTGATTATTGGAAGCACTTTCTTTACCAATACTGCAGAAACTGGAAGTTTAGTTTTGCACAATTAAATTTAGGGAGGTTATTTTAAGCCGTTCTTTGAGATAAAGTGAAGAGAGACGGGAAAAAGTGGCTAAAATGTGCATTGTAATGACATGCAGCAGATGGAATCGAACCAGTGACTCACAGTTTAGCGTTTCTGTGGTATGGACCCCAACCAGTTAACTATTGGATCGCCCCTAAATCTAAGCGTTTTAATCCCAGTCTCAACAGTCTATTCCTGCACTTAATGAGTTGCTGATTAAAAATGAAACCAATTCAAAACTGCAGCTGCGTTTAAGTTTGTTGTTCCAAGTTCTGCATCTTTTGTTTTTTTCCCCCCATAGTTTCTAAAAACGTCTTTGTTTCATTACTCTGTCAGATCCAAGGGGCCATCATCGTGTCGTCCCTGGTGGAGGTGTGCATCGGAGCGCTGGGCCTGCCCGGCATCCTGCTGAAGTACATCGGACCTCTGACCATCACACCAACTGTGGCCCTCATCGGCTTGTCTGGGTTCCAAGCCGCAGGGGAGAGGGCCGGAAAGCACTGGGGCATCGCTATGCTGTAAGTACACGCAAAATATATTAAACATGTCATCGGTAAGAGTATTTACGAATGATGCTCTGTTTAAAATACGTTTCTGTGGCAATACAACAGGGCAGCAGTGCATTCATTTGTATGATTGTAAAAGAACTAGACTGAGCCTACAGGTGGACGACTGTAGTGGATAAAACTACAGGAGGTTTCTGTTTTGACAGACTATTTTTGTCTACTGTCACCACCACTGAAACTGCCTGAATTATCACCGTCTATAACCAGAGTTGTCCGTTCATAAGCAAATCAAGAGGTTTTTAGCAGCTGCATGTTTCGTACTAAAAAGATTTCAGTGCTTTGAGTCTCATCGGATGCTTTTGCGGTATCTGCTGTAACTCATTCACTGATTTATCGTGATTTCATAAGCAAATCAAACTTCCTCTACAGAGACTATTGAGAGAAAACCTAAGAACCCTCTGCATCCTGTAGACTGTAAAGCTTCAGAGGACTGACTCAGAGGAAGATGCACTTTACAGCCGTCGCACTCAGACGGTGTGACATCAGCTCCTGCTGTGTCATGGCTGTTTACACTGTAGCTGGAGGGCCTCTCCTATCGCTCCACAGGGACCGAGGATCTGTGCCTGTAATTGCCACTGATTTCTCAGGCAGTTAGGATAATTGATTGGCTCTGAAGCCTCTGGGGTCTGAGTCAGCTATAGTCGGAACTAACGGGAACATGTTGGTACATGACTGGTTCTCTCCAGGAAAAATATACACGAAAGGAAGTAAGAGGTTATCTGATTAAACCACACTGTTTCTGCAGGACTATCTTCTTGGTGCTGCTCTTCTCTCAGTATGCCCGAAACGTCCACTTTCCTCTGCCAGTCTACAAAGCCAAGAAAGGTTGGACCTCCTACAGACTGCAGGTCTTTAAAATGTTTCCTGTAAGTACACAACGTCTACACACTTACTTCAGCTTTTGTGTTGTCTTGGGTTTCGTTTTGCACCAACTGTCTGGGTTCTAGTGTTCTGCTTCCTTTTTTCAATCTAAATATTCTTCCCCCCGCTCCTCTAATGATTTGACCTTTGTTTCTTTACACTTGTCTTCCCGTGTAAGTCACAAATTATTCAACAGAGCTCATCTCGTGCTCCCTGGGAGGCGTCTGAGCGCTGCGTAAATCAGTCTGTTCCTACCCTCTGCTGGTGAAACGATAAAAGCGCCGCTGAATTTACGCCCGACTCACCCATCAGTCTGATTTATACCCGTTTCGTCCCAAGGCCTCTCATTGCTGTTGTGCTTTTTTTTTTTAATGTTAAAGTGAGTTTCATTTTGTAACCTTGGAAGCTGGAAATACATTACAACCCTTTAGTACTGGTTGTAAATGTCATGTACTGTCTGGGAAAGTTAAAATGTGTTAAAGTCACAGTGAAGTCAGACTGTTTACATCTTCTGTGTTCATGAACAGATAAGTTCTTAACCAGGGTGTAGCTATAAGAGGCGTTTAAATCTGATCCCTTGCGGTTTAGTGGATTGCTCACGTGGTTTAGTGAATGTATGACATTATATAGACGTGTAAATGACTGTTGACTTTCACATCCACCCAGTTTTAGTCGGCTAACATCCACACCGTCATATCCTAACGTCATATTGCATAGTTAGCTACCATGACGAGCAAGTTTAAGTGTGTCCAAGGCGCATGTGATCAGATAAATGAATGCATTAGTCCTGATCTTTTTTCACACATTTGGTGTAGAACTAATTTGATGTAACTTCCCTGAAGTGGCACAAGGATCCAGGTTTAACCGTCTGAGCCCCACCTGTATGGAAACAACACAATCCTGGCTACAACTAACTCAAGAATGTCTTTTGTGCAGTATATTAAAATTATAATGCCGTGAATCATATGAAAGGAAAAACATAACTGAAATTGACATGTACGAAGGTTTTCCAAGTGCCCACAGGCGTCACTAATACTGAGGAAAACACGGTAAATCTTACATACTGTGCATACTTTCCTACTTATGTGTGAGTTTGTTTACGTCTCCTATCTGCTCTGTGTAAACACAGATTGCAGTTCAGCTGAAAAGTCCGTGAGTTCTTGTTACGGGACGGTTGGTTGCAGCTGAGTCATTAATGGCTTCACGGTTGTGACAAGGAGCGCAGAAATATGTGTTTTTACATAACGTATTTAATGCAGAGGGCTCATTTTTAAATGCCACATGCAGCAGAATGAAGTGATTTTGATGAATTATCATGATTTTAAATTTGGATTTAGTCACATTTTCTGACAGAACTGCAGACCACAGATGAGTAGTTCACAGACCGCCCATCAGCTAAAGAGCAGACTGTTTCTTTTTCAGTGTTTTTATCGTTTCTGGCTCTGATATATACTGAATTTTTTGCTTTTCAAAGCCACCGGCAGCATTTTGGGATTCAGAAGGTCAAACTTGTCAGATGTGATTTCTTCATTTTACGGGAATGTCTGACGAGTGTGTTCTCCTCTCCTGCACCCAGATCATAATGGCCATCCTGGTGTCATGGCTGCTGTGTTTCATTTTTACTGTGACCGACGTTTTCCCGCCGGAGAAGGACAAGTACGGTTTTTACGCCCGCACAGATGCTCGCCAAGGAATCCTGGCAGCCGCACCGTGGTTCAAAATCCCCTATCCATGTAAGTTTATCAGGAGGAGGAGGAGAGAGGTGTTGGAGAAGAATGATGATGTTAGACCTCGTGTCTATGAGCGGTGGACATTTTCCCTTTGACTTCTCCTCATTTCACATACAGTAAAATGAACTGGAGGAATAATAACCTCAGTGATAAAATACCACTACAATGCAGTTTATCATAATGATAAATTCAGATTCTATACAGAGGATTGAGACTGGTTATGTTGCATAATCTGTCATTATTGTCATCATTATTTACATAAAGGTATTCATCCAGCACTTAAAAATAAAGGTTCACTAAGTGCAATGACAGACAAAGTAAGTGCAGGATATGAAGAAGGCACAATAACAACAAGCATGACAGCTCAGCCAAAAACAAAAAGGTGAAACTGAGGTGAAATTAGCATAAAGTTAAAACAACAAACAGAAGAGACAAAAATACAGAATGCAAAATGTCAATATTAGTAAATACAAGTAAGATAATAAGACAATAAAAAAGAGGACGTACACATAAAAGCACGTCTATAAAAATGGATTTTAAGTGATTTAAAAAAGGTTGATTTTACAAACTTTATTTCTTTAGACATGGACTCTGAGGGACTGTGATGGCAAAGGAACAGTCACCTTTAAGCCTTAGCGTTGATGCAGCTGTGTCTTATTGGGTCAAAGTTTCTGCTGAGGCCAGGTGCAGGTCTGCTTTAAACATGAATCCTAAAATCAATTCTAAAATGACCAGTGTGCCAATAGGGGGAAGCTAAAGTTGGCTCAATGGTTAGCATCATTGCCTCGCAGCTAGAAGGTCGCCGGTTGGCGTCCCGATGAGGACACCCGGGATCTTTCTGTGTGGAGTCTCCATGTTCTCCCCGTGCAGTGTGGGTTCTCTCCGGGTTCTCCGGCTTCCTCCCACAGTCCAGAAACATGTTGAGGTTAATTGGTGATTCTAAATTGTCCGTAGGTGTGAATGTGAGTGTGCTTGGTTGTCTGTCTCTAAGTGTAGCCCTGTGATAGACTGGTTGCCTGTCCAGGTGAACCTGCCTTCACCCTGAGTCAGCCCTAAGCCGCAACCCTAGTGAGGATTAAGTGGTGTATACATGATGGATGGATGGTTTGCTAAAACCAGTAAGAAGCCGAGCTGCTGCATTCTGAACCAGATGGAGACGAGACTGTGACTTTTATGTCAGAAAGGATGGAGTTGAGGGCACTAACTCACACTACAAGTCTTCCAGACTAAGACAAAAACCACCTTGCTACAGACGACGAGGCCAAAAGCGTCACTTTAAAGTTATTTCCTGTTAACCTGCTTCTCACCACCTCTGACCCACGCTGTGTTTTCACCTCCACAGTTCAGTGGGGCACTCCCTCTGTGACGGCTGCAGGCGTCATCGGCATGATGAGCGCCGTGGTGGCCAGCATCATCGAGTCCATCGGAGACTACTACGCCTGCGCTCGCCTCTCCTGCGCTCCACCGCCGCCCATCCACGCCATCAACCGGTAACTCTCGTTAATCCGCCTCCTCATTCTCCCTTAATACTCCAGTTGTTTATGAAGCACAGCACGGGCAATTTGCTGTCTGGTAGATGCTTTAATCACGCTGCTTTTCCTCTGTGTCTGCAGGGGCATATTTATCGAGGGTCTTTCCTGTGTGCTGGACGGGCTTTTCGGGACAGGAAATGGCTCCACATCCTCCAGTCCAAACATAGGCGTCCTGGGCATCACTAAGGTTACACACAGACTGTTGTCTACTTTCATTTTTGACTGCATGCGTCTGTGTTTCCTCGTGATTCACTGATTAGTCAGCCGGCTGAAAATTAACTGGCAAATGTTTGTTGCTGTGTCTTACATGTGAGGATTTTCTTTCTTTTTTCTCCTGTTTTCATATCATAAAAACATACTGTTGGTTAAACACAGTGACCAATTTCAAGAAGTTGCCTCGAGTTCTGGGAAATTGTGATGGACATTTATAAATTCTCTGACCTTTACAGACAAAATGGAATCAGTGATGAGTAAAAGTATTAAAAAGCCTTCACATCTGATGCCACAAGAAAGGCCTTTGAAGGTATTAAAACACCTTGAAGGCTGTAGACAGGAGATTTTAAACATCTTTCCAATCCTTTTTTGAGGTATTTGAATCTGTGCCATCAGATTACTGTTGTTCTGTAGGAGTCTATGAAAGGCCCATCTGTTATGACAGCAACAGTCGTGTAAAATTTAGCTAAAAAATGGGGAAAATAAGCTTCAGTTGTGCATCAGTTGATTAATCTATGCGTCATACAAGTTTGGGTCCTAGTAGCTGATTGGAAATTGCTCCTAAGCTGGTTGGAAGAAATAAATACGTGTGTAAATGTCAGTAAATGTAATTTTTCTTTTTCTTTTTTTGTTGTTTTTTTTTCTTTCCCCTTTTGTAAAAAAAACTGTTCAGTCTGTGTGATGTTTAAGAAGTCTTTAACATCCCTTTTCTCCCTGATGGCTCCTCCTCCAGGTGGGCAGCAGACGTGTGATCCAGTACGGAGCCGCCATGATGCTGCTGCTGGGGCTGGTGGGTAAATTCAGCGCCCTGTTTGCCTCTCTGCCCGACCCCGTCCTGGGAGCTCTGTTCTGCACCCTGTTCGGTATGATCACAGCGGTGGGACTGTCCAACCTGCAGTTCGTCGACCTCAACTCCTCCAGGAACCTCTTTGTCTTGGGCTTCTCCATCTTCTTTGGCCTGATGCTGCCGAGCTACCTCAAACAGAACCCGCTGGTCACCGGTGAGTGCAGGGGAGGGATCCTACACTAGATCTAATGATTTGTACTGATCAATAAACTAACCTCCCAGAAGTGGATTGTAACTCTTGTCTATGCGTTCAAAACATTTAAAGCATTTTCTTTTTCTGATTTACACTGAGTAGCACGTACTGTACATTTTTCTCTCTCTAATATCTTGTGTAATATTCAGGATGTTTGTTTCCTTTTATTGCTTCCTGGTCGTACAAACATTTGTATTTGTGTGAATACAGATGTGTCTTAGGTGTTGGAAATATGTCAGTTATCCTCTGGATGCTGCAACTTGTTTTCTAACAGTATGTACCCGGGACGGTCCTATCAGTTTCACCCCTGATCAGATCCAAGTCATCTGTCGATACCAATGCTGTTTCTCGTCCATGGACGCAGCGCCCCCTTCATGAGATGGCGAGAGTGAATGTTTAGTGTCTATCCCAGATGTGCATTCCACAAACCTTACTAATAAAATGATCCTGAAGAAATGCTCTCCCATCTCACCTGTACTACTTTGTACGTACAGCAAAATGACAATAAACTTGATTTGAAGTATTCTAGGTCAGCTGTAGTACCTGTATGTGTCACCAGGTGGAGCATCTTACTATCTGATACTGCAGCGACCAGAGGAGGCAGTCACAGAGGGCATTGTGGGGGTTTAGCTAGTAAACGGGTACCATGACGAATTCTTCTTTGAGGCTTAATGACCTGAGGCCAGAGCTCATGCATTAATTTAAGTATGGATGAGGTAGGACAGGAGTTTTCTAGTGATATGTATGATGCATCTTTGACTTAGATATTAGTACATAACCACTAAAATGTGGTCTGAGGTGATATATTTAGTAATTGAATATATTTGCTGCACATTTTAGCGAATTAATTTTACATCATGTTTGGCAATGGATGTAAACAAAGGATCTGGCTTAGGTTCTTGCTGATATGGACCAGTAAACACTGACAGTCCTACAGGATACATCTGAGCTTTGTTGTTTGAGTTTACCCGCACGCTGCAGTTCTCTTCAAACTCCCACTAATTGTTAATCACATTTCTAACACTTTGTGAAACACTGATGATGATGTTCTCTGTAATGACCCATCGTAGCAGTTTTAGCAGTTTTCAGTTTTAGCCTCAACCCTCGTCTCGACTTTCTCTCGTTATCTTTCTCAGGCATAGTTGAAATTGACCAAGTGCTGAACGTGCTCCTCACCACTGCCATGTTTGTCGGAGGGTCTGTCGCCTTTATTCTGGACAACACTATCCCTGGTAAGGTCTTTGATTTACTCTTTGTCAAACTGATGATGGAAACGTTTGTAATCATGGTGATGCGACAGTAGTTTGAAGAAACATTTTTTTAAGGAAGAAAATCATAATAAAGTGGCTGCCAAGCAAAGTGTGTACAAAGGCAGAACATGCAGAGGTAGTTCTGTATCTGATCCTCAAGATTTTCCTGGGAGAGCCTGAAGTTGTGTTCGTTGTTGTACTTTTAACTGTTAATTTAATTTACCGTTTGTTGTCAGGTTCCCCTGAAGAACGAGGCATCAGGAAGCTGAAACGTGGTTCTGGCCTCAGTGCAGCAGAACTGGAAGGGATGAGATCTTACGATCTGCCGTTCGGAATGGACTTCATCCGCAGATACCCGATCTTCAAGTACATCCCCATCAGCCCCGCGTTCACAGGCTACCAGTGGGGGAGGCTAAAGGAGTGCGGCAGGAGCAGAATGGGACACGGGGATGTGGTGAAGGGAGGAGGGATGGGAGGGGAGGGAGGCACAGCACCGGGGGAGAGTCGGGTATAGCCAACGGGCTGCTGGAGAAGTCCTAAATGTTGCTGAATTTGGGGAGCAAGGGATGGTACACTAAGATAAAACGACGGGAGAGCGGAGGACGGCAGCGGCGCAGGATTGTGTGGAAGAAAAATGTGATGCACCAACCCCCCCACCCCCTCCCCGCCCCCTCCGTCAGTATGTGTTTTCTTTAGCTTGTGTCAGTCTTTTCCCACTTCCCACTATGCTATTTTCAGCATGCTATAGCAAGTCACAGCATGCTACAAAAGATGTCACCGCGCTGAGGCCGGTCGGTGTGCGTGCATGTGTGTACAGTATGCAGTAAGAGATAACGGGTTCGTGCACTAATTTCCTTGCACTTCAATCCAGAGGGAGACAGATGGACGTCAGACAGTCGAAGCCGAGCGTCTGACGGCTCACTGACTCGTAATCGCTGCTAACTCGTACTGCCCAAGTCATTTTTATGAAACGCGTTCTGCTAAAAGCACAGTGGAACGGATTTATGTCAATTGAGGATCACGTCACGAGTCGTTCGCCTCCAGACTCGTTATGCAACCACATTAGAGGAAAAAAAAAAACACGCGCAGACACACACACCGACAGCCTCGCCACAACTAGCTTGAGCTCTACGATGCACGACAGGGGTCATGTAGATTGATGGAAGTAGTTTGTCAGGTGCCCTTAGCCACGCAAAGTGATTGTGAGATTTATTTTTGCACTATCTGCCTCCTGAGTTCAAAACTAGAATGTCACTTCACGGCCCGCTCCCCGGTTTCCTCCAGTGAAGCTCCGCAGAGACCCACTGAGCAGCACATCTCACGTTAAAGCACCTCACATCTCTCTTTGTCTTCATGTAGGAGAGCGCTAACAAAAAAAAAACAAACCCTCACTAATATGTCCGTTTACATGGTTCTACTTCAGTATTAAGCAGCGGTTACTAACAAGACCAAAACTCTACCTTTCCTGAACACACACTTACTTCTTGTTTTACGAGCTAAATTAATTATTTTCTGTTTATTTGACTGCCTTTATTTGCTTTACATGTTGGCACTTACACAACAAGCTTTTAGCAACTCCTGCAGTTGCAAAAGCTACGACGACGCACAAAGCGAGACGGACACGTGGCCTTTGTCAGGGAGACTTTGTGTACATAAATACTGGGCCTAACACAGACACACAACGACGACGACAGGAGAATTAAATGTTCTTTATCCGGCGACAGCAGACATCTCTGGTCCTCTTTCAGTTTTTTAGGGGTCACATGTGCTCTGGTTTGTTTTGTTTTTTAGCAGTAATGTGTGTTAAAGTAGGATTTGCAAAGGTTGCACCATAAATAATGCAAACCCCTCATTAGTGTGGCCGCATAATTGTAACAGAAATTAAGGTTGGGAACGTTTAAATGTAATACGAGGGGTTTCTTTGGGTTTTTTTTTTTGACTCAGCCGATCGTGTCTGCTGCTCATTAACACTCGATGGTGTCGATGACTTTCCCTCACATTCCTCCTCCCATCCTCATCATCTCCTCCCACTCTCATCCCTCTGTTTACTGGAGATATTCGTTACTCTTCATCTCTGTTGTGTTTCAAGTCGTGGCAGCACGTTTTGGCTGAGCGACGCGTAGAGCATCAGCAGCCTGAAAAACCCTGGAGAGCGATTCTTTCATTTGACCACACTGTGTGCCTCTGCTGCTCTGATTGAAAAGCAGCAGTTTGAAAATTACAAACATAATCGTGGAAAATTGTAGAAACAAAGAGTCGCACAAATATTTAGCCCAGCCGAGACTTTTTACTAAAACCAAAATGCTAAAAGCTCTTCTTTTTTTTTTCTTTTCTTTCTTTTTGCTGTTCTTTGTTCTCATAAACCAAAACTTTTCTTTTGTTGCTACTGAGAAACTTAGTTTGAAAATTAGTCTCGCCCCCAAAACTTTTTCTCCTCTTTTTGTCTCTTTTGTTGAAGCTATTTATTTATTTATAAGAAGAAAGTCGTTTTAATGATTGCCTGAAGCAGGTTTATGTGTCTCTTGCACAATATTGAAAGTATATTTATGAGTTTACTCGTCGGTGCCCTGTTTCGGACTAAATCTGTCGACCGCTGCTCCTGCATTCGGCCTCGGCTGCAGTCGGTGCTTCTAGAAGCTCACCTGGAGACGGCGGCTGTCGAAGGTGGTTTCTGGTGTGAGATGTAAACCGCTTCAATTTCATTCCATTTATAACGTGTTGTTTTTAAAAGCAAGAGAGAAAAAAGAAAAAAACACTTTCAGATGTTGAACTGGATCGTTTAGTCTAACCTCCGTGTCAGGGCCTTTTTACTACAAGTACTGTTTGCACATGTAAAGGTGCCAAGAAGATCAGGGTCTGAGTGAGTCCTGCTCACTCGTCTGAAGCCCTAAAGTGTCACTATTGTGCTTTTCCGGTTTATAGTCGAGTAAGAACATGTTTTTTGTTTATTGGCCTGAAGGCAAGTGGCCGGACTGCTTCTTTGTGAATGAATATTTTTGACTGAGAGCGTCTCTGAGCTTCATTTATGACTTCATCCCTCTTGTGACATTTAACATTTTCTCACCGTTTATCCAGCAGTGAATTACATCTTCAGAGGTATTTTTTCTACACGTATGATATTACAGATGTTTGCTCAGGACACACCAAGGTTAAAATCCAACGTTTCCACAGACTGAGATGTAGGGCTGAATATTAAATCGTGATTTTAGACACTGCAGTTGAGCGTAGACGTTCTGCAGTGCGAGTAAACCAGCATTTATATCATGTATAGTCGTGTCCTCCTTGAGCGACCGTCAGCTTCTGATGTTTGTTTCAAATCTATCAGTATTGAACCTAAACTTCACTTTTAAAAAATGACATTGAAAATTAAATTTTAAAATCACAATATCCATCAGAAAAGTTGCAATTAGATATTTTTCCTAAATCATTCAGCCCTGCTTTAATGCTTTGCTTTTTATTTTCCTGTCTGGCTGGATTAAGTCGTAGCAAAGCTGCAGTGCTTTACAGAGACCAGCATTCAACCAAAAATAGGAGTTTCAGTGAAAGGTATTACACTGCTTTTATCACACCAACCATGGATGCTACCTAACATTTGTCTTTTTATTTTATTTTACTAGAAAGCATAGTGGAGATAGAGAGAGGATATGGGTGAAGGAACTAGAACATTTCAATTAAGGCCACCGTTTTTCACTTATATCTGTCCAGTATGTGCGTTGGTTATAAAGCAGAAATCCTTCATCAGATCACAGAATGCAGTATTCATGTGGAAATGTTGGATTTAAATGTTGGTCTCACCAAATCAAATGATGGTTCTGGGTAGACGGTGAGAAACCTGACGAGTGCTGGAGTCACAGAAGAGGCCGTTTAGAGACCGCCTCGGAAACCGTAAATCTAAAATCTCCCCACATCCTCCATCTGACTGCTGGCTGTGCTCAGGACTGGCATCTGGATAGCTGTAGACACAAAGCAGTGTTGGTGAAATCAGCGGTGTGTTTGTGGCGCGCCGGCTGGTGTTTTGACTCCCCTGCCTTTGGCGGCGACCTTGCTCCAGGACCTGGCGATGATCGAGTAGACGTCAGACGGCGGCCGCCGCCTCCTATGTCTTCTCTGCCAGAGAAGCGGAGGCTGGTCTGGCTCCTGTCCGAGTGGGTTCTTCATCATGCACACATGATAATCACGTGCAACAGCTCGACCTTGTTTTCTGTGTCATATCATGTTCGTTCAACCAGCACTTACTTCTCCCATCACACAGTCTCTCCTCCCTCCACATCACCCCCCAACCCCCTGCAGTGACGATATATTGGTGTCCTCTCATGTTTAGTGTACCTGGTTTTCTCCCTGGGAATTCTTACTGTTGATGTTTCTGGATGCGGGAGGAGACACCGGCTGGCCGCCTCGTTAAGAGCCGTGTTGGAGTTGGGCAGCTGAGCGAACCTGCCTCATCACTTCACCTCAATGAACACGGGATGTCTTTGTGCCTAAAGGCAGCTTCCTCTTGATTTTAACGTCTACCCTCCAGTTTTTAATCACACCGTCTCTCTTATTCTAGTTGTTACAGATTTAGCCGAGTCAACAGCGAGTCAACAGTTTTTTTGGCTTTGTTTCAACCAACAGACGGCTCTTAAGAAGGCGGCCTTAAGGTGTGTAACACAAAGGCATCAATCCCTTTCAGTTATTTTGAAGGGGGCGCTACCTGAAGAATATACTTCTGTGTATTAAGTGTTTTATCTTTTTCAATGTTTTGGGGTTTTTTTATACAGTGTTTTTATGTTTTTGCAAGCAGATATTTGTAAGAAACAAAATCATAACTTTTAATCTTAAATCATGCTGGAAAGCGCACCATCTTGTACTTTTTATTTAAAAAGTAAATACATTTTGATCCTATTTTGAATCTGTGGTTTGGTGGAATCCTTTTGTTGGTTAGGACCTTTTTTCATATTGTATTTTTTTACTCTAACGTTGCTTTCTGTCCATGTTAACACCATTACTAGTACAAATCAAAGAACAAGCTGAGAAACTTTAAAAAAAAAAGAAAAAGAAAAACAACAACAAAAAAACAATGTATATTTAATGGAGTACAGTTTGCTAAACATTCTGGAAGATAAATTGTGTAAAACTAATTGTAGCAACAAAATGTTTTATTCTCTGTTCCTAAAACTATTTAATAAGATGTTACAGAACGAATTCAGTCTTTTGTCTTTTTTCGTCGCCAAAATCCTGAAGGTGACGTTTGTTTGTTTTCACTGCAGGAAACCAAGAAAAACTAACCAGAATTTTCTATTTTATTAACGGCAGCTTCTTTCCATTCCTCTGTTCTGTGTAAATACCCAAATATGATTTAACTGAATATAAGCGATAATGGATTCATGTGCTATTTAGAAAGGAAGAAATAACAGATGCTATTTCCAGTTTTCTCTTTCACACGTTTGAAAATCGATCACATTTTTTCCTGACTGTTCGAACAGCTCTGAAACTGCAGGAGGCCGCTGTATTTTTTTCCATCAAAAACTAGGAGGTACCATCATGTAAAACTGCTCGAAAGCAAAGCTGCAAATGGTTCGTAGTGATGTCATTAATTGTGTTTCATTAGGAGTTCATATTCCCACAGTGACGACCTGCAGATGGGTCCTGCTCTCTACCGAGTCCTGAGGCCTCCTCCTGAAAAGAGGCCCCTGTGTTAAATCTAGTTTTAAGTAACGTGATCCTGGACTGAATCATAATTAGGGGCCCTTTGGCTCATTTACCAGCTACAGAGTGACATGTTCTAAGAGACTCAAATGTCTCACAGACTGCGAGGCTACATGTTTTCAGCTGAATGTGAAATCTCAGTGATGGATTTGTTAAATATCGGTGCTACAACTAACGATTAGTGATAATTAAAGTCTGAAAATCACCTCCAGGTGAACATTTAAATATGATGTACTGTGAGGGACGGAGCTGCAAAGTCGCAGGTGGATTTTGGGAGAAGTGGTTTAACCTGAAAAGAAATGACGTTAAAAATAATGTTTCAAAAAGCAAACACTCAAGTTAGTTCTGGGGAAATTCAAGAGGTGAAATGAGCAGAACTAAACCGTGACTATAGACTACGATCTGATCCAACGAAAATCAGAGCTGACATCTTAAACTATGAGCAAAAGGGAACATACAAGTGCATCTTCATCCATCCATCCATCATCTATACACCGCTTAATCCTCAGCAGGGTCATGTGGGGCTGGAGTCTATCCCAGCTGACTCAGGGTGAAGGCAGGGGACACCCTGGACAGGTAACCAGTCTATCACAGGGCTACACTTAGAGACAGACAACCAAGCACACTCACATTCACACCTACGGACAATTTACAATCACCAATTAACCTCAGCATGTTTTGGGAGGAAGCCGGAGAACCCGGAGAGAACCCACGCTGCACGGGGAGAACATGGAGACTCCACTCAGAATGATCCCGGGTGTCCTCACCACGACCTTCTAGTGAGGCAACGATGCTAACCACTGATCCACCTTGCAGCCCAAGTTACGAACAGATTAATGCGTATGAAGGCGCCACCTACTGGCCAATCAGTTCTCTTGGAAAACAGCATCACAGTTCCTGAAGATCCTGCAGAGCTGAGTGTGTGAACAGTGTTGTGGAGGGTCTCTGAGGCCAGTTTTTAGAGCTGTGTATCGATAAAATCCTACAACAGAGACTGATGAAGCTCTAAAGCTTTGACTTAAGTTTATATATTTGTTTTGCCTGTTCACTTTGCCCAGCAGCTGATAGAGTGAAGCTAAAACTTTCTATCAGAACATAAGATCACTGAGTTCATCCTCCACATCACTGTGAAAACGGTTTGATTTCTATTATTCATTTATTCTTTATGTAATCTGTCTCTTTTGTGAGCAGCATGAAGGGACAACAGCTGTTTGTTTCGTTACACAATCTTGTGTTACATAATGTTGATTTAACTGAAGGCTAGATAAGTAATCTGCATCTAAACACCGCATACATAGAAATATATAACATTTGACTTAGATTCCACCTTATATGAGGCAGTGATGGTGATCAGCCTGTTACCTCACGTCCACAGTTTTTTTTTACCAACCGTCCTTTTGCAGCAGCAGCATAATTGGACAACTGTGTTGCTTTTAGCCCGTTGTATAGCTTTAAATTCCTCATTTGGTTTAGGATTAGCGTTTGTTCTCCTTGTGATAAATGTGCAGCTCCAAACCTGTCCACGTTTGTGATTGGACATCTGTTACTGCTTCTTTCGAAGCCAGATTCAGAAACCCTGAGCTGACTTATTGAGTTGAGAACCAGCTTCATGTGACCGCTTAGCCTGAAGCCAGCTAACAAAAAGATACCCTGGGTGTGTTTAACTTGCTTCATAGGTAAATTAATGCAGCTATCCAGAATAGGGTGTGACAACGTTATAAAAAAATCAACCAGAAATGACGTTAACTCCAGTGTTGAAGGTCTACACAACTTTTGTGAATTGCTAATCACAATCATCAAAAAATCGTAAAAAGGTGGGAAAAGGAAAAATAGGGTAGAGTCAGTAATCTTGTACATTTGTCCTACGTCTAACAGAGCTGGTCTTCAGGTCAACCGAAGTTGTCACAGAAAGCTCTTTCATTTAAATATGACTCTTCACACTGCAGAACGTGTCATGTTTCCCCAGAGTTTGATTTTCACCTGATTCAATCTTTTTGTCTCAAGCTGCATCGCGATCATCTTCCCATGCTTTTGTTTACGCTCAAACTCTGTACAATCTGTGTTTTTGGTACATCTTGTGACCTGAATGTTGAGGATGACTCACAGAGGCCTCAAAGAACATCCTTATTATTAAAAAAAATATAGGACAAACGTAGTTTAAAAATGGCCCGTTTTGCCATACACTTGATTAGTTTCTGACATGATAATGCCAAAATAATGTTTTTTTTTCACACTAAATTACATAATGAGCTACTGAGCTGTGTGAATTAAACATGTAGAGTTTTGTTGATAATTTGAGATTGCAAACCTTTTTTTTTTATTTTTCTTGGCACATCTGATCTTCCATACATCCCTGAGTGAAACTAGATAGATAGGTGGATAGATAAACAGATAGATAGGTTGGAGTGAAGGTAACTGAACATGTCCTAAGTTGTGCTGCTGACAGACTTTGTTGGGACTCTTGTGTCTCCACTAAATCAGAGCCTCCATTGATTAGCTCTGCCTGCTGCTCCCTCTCTGAGCTCTATTGTTGTCCTGTTTTCATTCATCTCCGCACGCAGCGCTAACAAAGGCTCGTCAGCCTCGCGCTCTGATTGGCTCCCTGCCGGGGCCGCGCGCCTCCTCCGCCGCCGCCGCCGCCGCCGCCGCTGCTGCCGCGAGCTCCTCCACAACAGATGGACCTCTCGCGCTCTCCTCCTACTTCTCCCACGAGCTGCTGGATGCGCGGCTGCCGCTGCCGCTGCTGCACGCGCCCCTGCTGATTGTTTCCAACGAGTTGGACGGTTTTTAACGGGGAGGAAGAAGGAAGAGGAGGAAGAAGAAGAAGAGGAGGAGAAGGAGGAGCAGGAGGACCACCACCGAGGAGAACCGCGCACGGTGAGCCGAGAGACGAGCTCCAAAAGTGGGCAGGAGCCAGACGGAGGGGTCGGCTGTAGCTCAGCAGGCTGGTCGTGATGATGTCTGTGGGGTAGATGTGGCGATGCGGGCTGGGTGTAGTTTCGGTTGTTTGATGCGGGAAAAACTACACTTAAAAATGTTTTCGGGGACCATAAAACATCCATTATTTATTTCATCAAACCACGGGCGACACGCGTGGACTCCAAAAACCTCGAATCTTTACGCGTTCGTGTCGCCGTGAACTCACGTTGCAGCGCTAATGTGCACTTTCTGTGACGCTTCGAGCTGAAAGAAAAAAAATATCTCCAACTGAAAAATGCGCATATTGTTGTCACATTTCTCTCCTGGCAGGGGGAGTGCACATAGCTGCGATTTGGTCAAACAGGTTACATAACAAGCGATAGATAGTTAAGATTCCTCGCAGCGAACGTAAGGCTGGAAACAGGCAGAGCTAAGAAAAAAAGTGATGCTCACTCCAATCCAGTGCCAGTTTATTGAACCAATCAGCATTACAGCCCACATCCACCAAGATGTTCAGGTTGGTGGAGGTGGTGGGGAGCAACTTTAGGGCCATTTTTTTAGGAGCTATAAACAACAGCAGCACCTCCAAAAATGATCTTAAAGTTGAATTAATAGCCCCAAATCACAGGTAGGATGACTGGCACAAGAATTAGTTTAAACTACCAGCAAAATATTCAGCATCTGTAACATTTGATCAGCCATTTTTGCTTTTGTACTTGTCAAATGGCAGTTGTAGTTATCATAAATTAGTTTAATTTAATTTATATGCAGTTGCAAGTGGGCTGAGTTTGACCCGAATATGTGGTTTAGTCTTTAAAAGTAGGATTATTTGCACTGGAATTAGCTTTTACATGGTGGATCTGATAAACTACCGGGAAAATATTCAAAATATTAGTCCCATCTGTAACGTTTAATCAGCAAATTTGCTTTTGTACTTGTCAGAAGCCAGTTATAGTTATCATAAATTAGTTTTAATTTAATATGCAGTTCTGATTTTGACCCGTTTTGTCTTTACAAATAGGATTGTTTACACAAATGTTGAACCACCAGCCATTTTGTTCCCTTTCTCTTTAAATTTTTTCCAAAATGCCACACAACAACAACAACAAAAAAATGTTTCCAGAGCCTCCGGTAACGTCTTAAAATTCCTTCTTTGTGAGTCCAAACCCCGGTTTTATATAATTAACCATCACACGTGACAAAACAAGAAGATGGGATCAGTGATTTGCTTCTGTTTATGCTTGAAACATAACTTTGATTTAGCCAAATACTTGCAGATAAACCTCTCGCTCTGCTGTCAGCTCAGAGGAAAGAGAAGTTTGGACGTTCAGACTCAGCCTGGCATCGTTTTTGACAGCCCCATTGGGCCTAACGAGGAGCAGGACAGACACTATTTTTGGCTCGTTGTTTGTGGGATAGCTGCTGGAGCTCAGATGTTTTCCGTGTTGCTATGACAATGGTGACAATAGTGAGGCAGAGCAGTAGTAACGTGGAGGATGAAGGCAGGGGAGGCGGCGTTGGTGGGCCCGAGCAGCAGCAGCAGGAGGAGGTTCGGAGCTATTCATCGGCCGGAGACGTTGACGGAGGAGGTTCAGAGGCGGCGGGGGCAATAGGGCAGAAAACAAGCGTGCATGTGTGTCAATGAGAGAGCTCGGAGGGGGACAAGTCAGGAAGTTGTGGTTTTATCAGCATGTTGGATGCCTTCTAGTCTTTCACGAGGCGACGTGAAGCAGATGCGAAGCCAAGAAGAGAGAAATGGAAAAAGCAGGCAGCAGCAGAGAGGGGAAAATTTTCCAATCAGAAAAATTGGACCGCCGCTCAGACTTACTGTGGTAGAAAACAAGCGAGCAGATGAAAGTGAACGAGACATAAAGACGCAGAGAAGGAGGGGAAGACGGAGGCTGAGGATTGGCCGACGTTGGTAATGAGGCTCGGGGGGATTGAGGCAGTCAATGAGTTCTACATTTGGAGTTGTCCGGTGCAGAGATGGGAAACAGGGACCGGTCAGCCGTGGGTCAGTCTGGCTGCTTTATATGCTGCTGCTGGAGTCTCAATGTTACACAGAGTTTTTTTTCCTTTACGGAGACAAGCTCCTCTTGTTGTAGCAGACAAAACTATCAAGAGATGTTTTGGTTAAGCGTCAAGGTAGTTTCTACAGCTTTGGAAGCAAATGCAGTTTGTTTCACTACATTCCTTTAATTTGTGATGTTTCTATCAGTGCTTTCTTGGGGAACTAATGGTGCTTTATGGTGATATTCCCAGTTCATACTGGGTTGGTAGAATGATCTCTGATGTGGGTTTAGTGGCCAAAAGGGGACAAGAATTAATCGTATGTTTCACTGAACTGCAACTGTTCACTCAGTCGTGTCACCAGCAGCCTCCAAAGTCCCGTCCTGAGTATATTTTGGGGATTTTAACAACCAGCTGACACAGAGACGCTTATAGTATTAAGTTCATTGTTTTAAATCTGAATTCGTTTGAGTGCTTTTAGGCCAAAAAAACAAACATGAAGTTGTGTCTCAACAGCCTTTAGAGCCTTGATGCTGGAAAAATGCACAAAAAATACAAAAGAACAACTAACTGAGTAAATAATAAAACCTTTATTTTTAGATTTTATTCTTGTTTTTTCCCAGAATATCACTATTTAACGTCAAATGCCAAGTAGTGATTAGTATTATCTATGGATGGATTTAAAGATTGGAAAGATTTTCACTTGCAAGTTGTAAGCAAATGAACTTTTATTTCTTTTGTCAGTGAAGAACATACGTACATGCACATACGTTTTCCTGTATACCCAAAGGAATGTATTGGAAAAACTGTTTTGTCACCTTTTTTCACCAGTGTTTAGATGTTCTGAGTGCCCAGCAATGCCTAACTGTACTGTAGGCTTAAACGCACAGACAAAACAAAGCTGTGTCATGATATTCCAATAAAAACATACCCTACACATCTAATTATACAACATCCCAGCTCGGTCTCCCAGCTGAAGAAAACGTACCAACAGCAAAAACACTAAACACGTTTATGATGACGCTTTAAAGGTTAAATGTCCGTTTCAGTCTTTATCTCTGGAGCCTGAGGTCACATCAGGGAGGCATCAGTTGTGTCATCAGATGACTATTTAGTTGACCTGAAGTTCACATTGATCTTGTGTCTTTCCAGACAATTGCAGCGTTGTTTTGGATCGACAGCCAACCACATGTCTGCCCGTTAGCGAGTCTCCGAGCGCAGCCGCCTTTGACCGCGGCCGTGATATTAAAGACTAATGACTTCCATTGTGTGGGTCAATGGTGAGCTTTTGAGTGCTTGACAGGGCTAATATAAGCGCTGAAATATTGATAGGCCTTGGCATGGGGCTCGGCTGATTGGTGTTTAATATTTAATTGGCCCACAATAACTGAACACATCTATTTCAGAGATTGACAGCCTCGGGCTATTTATCGCCGCCGCCGTGTGTTTAAAGCTGCTCGTCAGGTCTTTTGTTTACACTAAACTGTTCCGGCATGTGTCTGATCTCGCCGTTCGGTCTGATAACGGCGCGAGGCGATCGGCGTATCTGCTCATGCTGGTGTGTGTAAACTGTGTTTGGGTGATAAGTCATCTGTGCAGCTTGAATTGAGGAAGTTTTAGGCCGTGTCAAGGCGAGTGTCAGCTTCCTGTGTGACTGACTGAGTAAAGGAGGAAGTGAATTGACGGAAGGGGAGCGCTTCCTTTCAAACGCCCCCACTCTTCCTCGTCTGTTTGCTGTCACGTTCACAAGAAAAAGACCCTCGTGGGCCGTTTTTAAACTGACACCTGAGTCACAGAACCGCTAATACCTGAGGATACCTTCAGAGTCTAACTGTCTTAACGTCTGTCTCCAAACAGGCAGCTCCCTCTTCTCTCCGGTGAGTCAACAGAGATCACACAGTCTTCTCTACGGTAAGCTCGCTTGTAGTCTGAGGACACATATTTATGCTGCGTAGGTATGTCTCTCTGACTTTTTGTTATAAATATATGTTGGTTGTTGAGTTTCAGAAGCACTGATTTGTGTAACAGAGTGATGTGAGAAGGAATCATGCTTTGGTTTTGCATATTTTAACCTTTTTTTACCACCAATAATGGGTTTTTTGCTGCCGTTTCTTTGCTGAGGCAATGAAACTAACTATGAAACACACTGTAAACTTACTCTATGTTCATAAACAAGTCTCAAATGTCTGCTAATTAATCGTGATAGTAAGGAATAGAATCAAATCCAGAATCAAACTGCAGTGAAATCAGAAGGACAAGTCAAAAAGTGTCCAGGTGAGGCTGTACGTAGGCACAAAGCTGCTTCAATACATGCTAAAAACATGCTATGCTGATGTTGAGGAGGTGCAGTGTTTACCATTTTAATCATCTTAGTTAGCCTGTTAGCAAGCTACCCATCCATCCATACATCCGTTCCATTTGCTTGTCCTTTTCCGGGGTCACTTTGCGGACGCAGCGGGTTAAGCAGGTCATTCCAGACGTCCATCTTCTCAGCAGTGTTCTCCAGTTCCCCCAAGGTGTTCCCAGGCCAGATAGGATGTGTAATCCCGGGCCGACCCTGGGGTGTCCTCTCAGCTGGATGTACCCAGAAAACCTCCAAAGAAAGGTGCTCAGGAGACATCAGATGTTGGAACCAAATCAGCATGAAGGAGCAGTGACTCTACTCCAAGCTCTGGATGTCTGAGCTCCTCACCTTATCATTAACGGCTGAGCTCAGCCAACCTACAGAGGAAGCTGTGATTTCATTATTTAGGTCACTAGTAAGCTAATGTTTGCTAACTAGCACTAAAAATGGGAACGTCATTTGTTGAGTTTTGACATTCTTCTGAACTGAGGTAGCCTCTTGGATGAACTAGAAGTCCAGTTGCTTTTTATTAAAGCTCCCAGGGTTACCATGACATCCATGACTCAGAATCTGCACAGACGTTTTCAAACTAATGAGGAAGTTCGATGAAAAGTCGCAGGATCGCTGAAATCGCTGCGACTCGCTGGGAGGGAAACATGAACGTCTGGAGTGAATTTCGTAGCAAAGCACAAATCTCAGCCTCATCAATAAAGTCAGTTGGATTCATCCTCCTGTTCCTCTGCTTGCATCTCCGTCCCTCCCGGCAGATGTGTGAGCTGAAGAGGTGAAGATGAGACATGAGAGAGATCTGTGATGAAGTATTATTTTAGTTTTGTCACGCCTCTTTGAGGATACATCAAGGACAGACTTGTGCATCCTCCAGCGAGCTACTTTGCTCCACTCTCCTCCAGATGCATTTTAGAAATGGAGACATCCTTTGTGACGGTGCACCAGGATGGATTTCTGTATTCTGTGTAGCAGCAAGCCTAAAAAAAACTAAACCTGCTGCTTTCCCTGTGAGGGTTTGTGTGAGAGACAACAAGCACACAAACTATCAGCCGAGCAGGTTTAAAATTTTGACTCCCGTTTATATTAAATCACATCAAACCTCTGCTGGAATGAAGAATCGCTGAGCTTCAATGGATTCTAGTCTGCCAGCAAACACAGAGAGAAGGTTTGATTATGCTTTTATACCGTTTGGGTCCCGTGATGTTTGATTAGAAACTGCTCTGGAGATTTCTTGGCTTTAAATTCTTAAGCTAGCCCTCTCTTCAATCTCTCAACCAAGAAATAATCATCTTCTTCCTTATTGTCCTTCTCCTGAGGATCATAACCCACTCTGTCCTCCCTCCACCTCAAGAACACAGAACTGTCTCATATCTACTCTTTTTTTTTTTTTTGGACATTAATTTTGCTCTCATCTTGGACTCCCCCGTCTCTACAGCATCCACTCCAGTTTAATCAGTTTCAGACACCACTCCTCTTTCACACATCCTTTTTTTAGGGTATCTGGACAATTCTCATATAAGAGATGTAACTGAGGACTGTGTAAGAAAGCATGATGGGACTTTAGAACTCAGTAATTTGAGACGACTTCTTTTGAATGAAATCAGAAACATCCAGCGGGTTTCGATGGACAGATATTCACGTTCAGTATTGACAAACACAAATACGACAGATGAAGGCCTGTGTGCTGCTTTGCCAGTAGCATGCTCAGTGATAAATGTTTAAGCAGCTGAAGTAATTTGGAGCAGTGGGTGGCCCATGTGTCCTGCACCTGTCCATCTCCTTCCGGAAGCTTCCGTCCAGCCAGTGTGACACACACACACACACACACACACACACACACACACACACACAAACCGTCATTCATTCAGTAAAGAGGGAAAGAAAACTCTCAGGGGTGATGGCGGGTTGCCATTTAAAACAGCTGCGTTTGCAAATGTGCAGTGTAAGCTTACGTGTAAAAGAGAAAGGAAAGAATTAAAGCCCCGACAGGAAAGAGAGCGCACATTGTCAGATGAAGAAGAGTGTGTGGACAGCAGCTGCTCTGCTCCATCACACACTAAATGTGTAGCGAGACACGACGAACGGTGTTTTAACTATGACAGTGTTGTGAGGAGTCGCTGACAGGAAAGCAGATATGATCTGACGGTATTGTTTACAATCTGGGGCTTTACTTCCTCCTCTTCGTGCCGTCTCGTTCCTCCTCCTCCTCCTCCTCCTCCTCAGGCTGCCTCCTTAGCGTCTTCTGCGCTGGCTGCTGGTCATGAGGAGTCATGAGACTGAAGCAGATGGACGAGCATTAACTCTGTCTGTGTCACCTCTTTGTCTCCCAGCTCCTCTCATGCTCGCTGAGAATGGATGACACACAGGACTTGGTTCAGATCGGAGAGAACAGGTTCATTAGCAAGTAAGGGTTCATTTCCAAACATGTTGACACACAAACAAGCACCTGAATGTCAAAAACATGATAAACACAATTCAAGTGATCATATTTTGTTTATTAAACGTTGGTGTGTGTGTGATAGAGACAAACAATCTAAAGCAACAAACTTCACTGTTGGACTTTTGTCAGGCAAACATAGTATTAATTGATTTGTGGAAAGCTTTATGAATGTAATATGAGAGTGCTTGAATTAAGTAAGAACCTCTTAGTGCACAGCTCATATCGGCTTACATGACGCTATAAAAAGAGTAAGATAATTGCATAGTAAAAAAATCACCCACAAATTGACATATACTCACAAACTGTTTTTTAAAAAAAGCACAAAAAAAGAAGTTTCAAAAAATGTACTTTACAGAACTGAACATTCAGACAGCCAAAAACAAAAGAGGATTCTTTACCGAATGTTTTTCAAAAGGTGGTCTCATCACATCTCTGTATATGCAGGAATTAAACACAGAGTAAAATGTATTCCTAATTATACCAAGATCACAAAAACAAACCCTAAATGCTGCTCCTCAGGAACCACATCAAGAAGTTCTGGATCTCGGCTTCCCGTGCAGGATTTTTTCTTGCTTTTCATTCTGCCAGTAAAAAAATCAGAAATCATCTTGCAGAGGCCTTGTTGTATGTTGTCAAATCTGTAGCATAAAATACATAAAAATATGCACATTTTAGTGTCTCTACATGGTAACGCAGTCAAGAGTAGGTTCTGATTTTGGACAGTGATGCATTCAGAAGCTCTTTTTGCTGTAGCATCCAAAATGTTGATGGGCAGAAAAGTGGTGCTTCACAAGTAAGAAAATCTGCTTTCTAGTGCACTGACGTTAACTTCATCGCGACAAGGACAGGAATGTGGTCGCTGCATATTTTTAATACAATAGACACTTTCAGAGACGTGCAAGCAGAACATGTGGTTATCACTGAGATCGACGTCGTTAGCAAAGAGTACAGCAGACGTAAAGGACACGACACAACTCAGCCAGCAAGTTGGTTTCCTAACTGTACTGTGATTAATTAGTTTAAATCAAAGGCTGCCTGTAGAGCAAAATAATTCAACTACATCGGCTATGCTTTGTAAAATGGTCATCAGTAGTATATAGACACACACACAGAGGACCTGTGGTTAGTGGGCTTAACATCAGCTTCCTTTCAACAGTTTCTTCTGTTCACTGATTCAACCTCTCTGTCTCCAGGGCAACCGTCCTCTCACATCTTAAAACATACAACCTGTACTATGAGGGGCAGAATCTGCAGCTACGACACAGAGAAGTGAGTGTTTAATGCTTTTTGTTCAACAGAAGAACGTGAATGCCTCCAGGCTTCAACACACCAAACCCATTATACTCTCTAATGATCGTGGATTGTGTGTATTTCTGTGTGTCTGCTCGTGCATTGATCGCGGCCCGTGTCTCCTCACAGGAAGAGGAGGAGCTGATTGTCGAGGGCTTGCTGAACATCTTCTGGGGCCTGCGGCGGCCGATCAGGCTTCAGATGCAGGATGACCACGAGCGAATCCGACCGCCTCCCTCCTCCACGTCCTGGCACTCCGGCTGCAATCTGGACAGTCAAGGGTAAGTCGTCCAGACGGATCCTGTTACACGTCAGTGACCGGAAATGGTGATGCGCAGGTCAGTGAGGGCAGATATGGATTCTGTCTCGTTTTTTTTCAGGGATATTTGTTGACATGATCGTTATCGCAGATTTTCTATCTGTGCTCGTACAGTCTGGTGAATCCTTAATAAAACGTCGATTGGCAGCGACATAGAAACAAAAGTGACCCTTTTAAGCCACACCTCTGGCTCAATTTTGATTTTTGCCCGGAGCTACTGCAGATCAGTCTGTGTCAATCAGCTCGAAGCCCCTTTTCCAGCTCTGTGGTACCATTCATTAAACAAAGCTATTCCTGCTCCAACAGTAACATGACATGAAGCTGGGTGCTGAAATTCTATACGTTAAATGGACAAAATAGCATAAACAGTTCATTTACTAGCAAGAAAAGTCTGTCTATCAGGATTTAATAAACTTAGATGAGCCATCAAACAAACAATGCTGTAAATACAGTCGTGACTCGATAATCCGACACTAAATGTAAAACCTTCTTTTATGTCGGATTGTCAAGACGGAGGTCGAGATACAAGGAGTGCTTGATGCTGGAAGGCTGATTTGTTGTTAATATAGTTGTTATAATAACTAGTGTATTGTTAGAACACTACACATCGCTGGATTTCACACCTAACTGACCGGTGCGCTTGTGGTGCACGTTCCGGCCACATCCACTCCATCAGAGCGCATCACCGGGGTGGAAGTGACCAGAACCCACAGGCAGTACTTGGCTGCTGATGCTAGTTTAGTTAGCGCTCACACTTCTGTTTTCTCCATCGGTGGCGGCGGGGGAGTGGCAGATACGCTCCACCGTTACCATCCATGTTTACTTCCATAAACACTGAGCACGCTCGCTGCGTGTGACGTCGTCGTGTCCTCTTCTGCGCATGCGGGACACTTTTGGGTCGTATGAAGTTCACACAGCAGATCACATACAAGTCGCATTGAACTGGAAACGTGAAGGAACTCACAAAGAAATCCTCATTGAGCATCAAGTCCTGCAGTGTGAACGTAGCCAATCTGTGGGATTGTTCAGTCAGATAATACGCCGTCATCCTGATTGGTGACATTAAATGTCATGTTGGAGTCAGAATCCAAGGCTGTCGCTATGTTAAGGCTGTTTTTATGGGTTACGTTCGTTTTTCCTACAAAACCTGTCGGATAGCAGGTTTAGGATTGTTAAGGGTCAGACTATCAAGTCATGACTGTACTTTCACATCTCATGAAGAAAACAGACAAATTGCATCAACAACCAGCTGTCACAAGCTGAAACCAGCCACCACAGGTATGACAAGCATACAATAAATACATAAAACAAACTGCGATCTGACAGGAAATGTAATAAAAAGAGTCACCTGGCTCACAGTGTTTGTAATCACGGTGATGTTGTCTTTGCAAACACAACACTGTAGACGTTATTACTCAGTGTGTTGTTCTGTACCGTAACTCCTGTCACACATCGTCTCAGGAAGTCTAGACGATATCATTAAACATCTTCAGGTTTTGTCTACAAAATCTTTTCAGCTGTTTGTGTACAGTTCTGCCACCTTGCAGCTCCTGTCCTTTGTCTCTTACAACTGCACTCCCTCTTGTTTCCCTTTTTTGAAGTTCCCCCAACAGCACAGATGGTCAACAGACGACACAGCAGAGCCCACCCACAGTGGAAGTGACGCCACCTGAGAGCCAACCAGAGGACAACGGTGTGGCGGAGGAACAGACAGAAGGTAAGAGTAGAAGTGATGGAAGTATTGAACAACACTGTGTGTTATTGTTTTGGCCATAATAAATCCAAAATCCAGTAAACAGCGTCACACATCTGTCAGAAGGATGTGCCACATGCAAAAAAATCAAGTTAGCTTGGTTGTTAAAAACACCACAAATCTCTAATTAGTGCTCAGCTGCTTTATGTACAATCACTGTTGGCTGGAAACCTCTCATCAACAAACTGGCAGCTTCTCCTGGAATTACAGTAGCGCTTCTGTCCTTAATTGTTGTGTTTTCATCTCTTAGTTTACTTCTGTGTACTTGCTCGGTGTGATTAAATACAGCTTTAACATCTCCACCATTTGAACCTAAAGCCTATTTTATAAAAATTACCTGCACAAATATGGTGTTCTCTCAGGAATAGTCGGTATTTTGAGATCTTTACTTTAAAGCTCCCATATTGTGCCTGTTTTCAGCAAATTCATCCAAGTCTCACATCTCTTCGTAGTGTGTCTTTCTGTTTTTCAGCTCAAAGGGTTGATTTTACCATACCTGTATAACCCCGGCTTTCAGGGGGGTTCTGAATGAGCTGCAGGGAAAACACGCCGTCTCCATTTGAGCTGATTAGTTAGTTAGGTGCTACTTAGAACCTTCTTACTGACTCGTAAAGATTGGAGGCTTTTATTTTACACCTCCAAGTTTATAGCAACCGCAAAATACAATAAAAAAGTAGACTGTCACCATGCGGGACCTTCTCACGGTGAATAATAACCGATGTAGTGATTGTTGATTGGACAGAGGACAGCGAGAGCTCCGCCCAGCTGCTCAGAACCAAGAGTGATGCCGGGGTGTTAAGACGGGGTCAGCGAAGGTCCCCGAGCGACCAGAGGAAAATCCGCCGCCATCGGTTCTCCATCAACGGGCATTTCTATAATCATAAGGTGATGCCAGCACAGAACCTGAACGTCTGAATCAGTAACGCAAATAATATCATCAAATACATTAACATTGGTGAATCACTTTGTGCTAAACTATTACGTTAATGACAATGTTATGTAGGAAGCTAAACTCATGTCTGGATGTTTTATTTGTTCCTCTCAGACGGCCGTGTTCACTCCTGCCTTCGGCTCAGTCACTAACGTTCGCATCAACAGCTGCATGACGACGCCTCAGGTGCTGCGGGTTCTCCTCAACAAGTTCAAGATCGAAAACAGCCCGGATGACTTTGCGCTCTACCTCGTCCACGCCAGTGGAGGTGAGTCGTCGTCGCTTGATGTTCCAGAGTGTAAGAAGAGGAAAAGAAGGTTAAAAATAAGATAAAAGATAAAAATAAAATTGCTTCATAGTGTGGGAGAAAGGCTGCGTCCCAGATGTTAAGCAAACAAAAGTCAGCAACGTATCAACTCTGCAAATCAGTGATGCTTCCAGAGGTCTAAACATGAGAGCATCCAGAGCATCAAACTGGACCGATGGTGGTGGATTTACCACCAATCTGGACATGAGGCCAAGATTTTTTTTGATGAAACTGTTTCACAATTACTGACTTTAAAGATGCTCGTATCACCTGAACTTTCTTCTTGACATTCAGCGACACATGTAATAAGTACATCTGCTTTAGTTATTAATCACAAAACATCAGCTTGAATGTCCCTTTTTTTTAAGACAAAAAAAAAGAACATAAAGAAAAACATAAAAAGAACCTTAACATAAAGGCAGTGGGATGCAGTTATTGCTACATACATAGTATATTATTTAAAATGAGCAGAGTCACAGGCCGGCCTACGTGGATTTATGTCGTCCATCCACTTCTTCCAACGTGAAACAAATGAGTCTCTCTTGTAATTCACATCTGCTGTTGTTCTCTCCATCCTGTAAATGTCCATCACGATGTCCGTCCACATGTTTAAAGCTGGGCTTTCCCTTGACAGCCATTTTTTTCGTACGGGCCTTTTTTACCTGCCACCAACAAAACACTAAACAAGTGTTTGTCTCTCTTTGGCCATCTCTCAGGCATGAGTCCTAAAAAATAACATTTTGATCTCCAAAGGCAGGTGATTTCCAAACATTTGTTGAATTGCATAATGGATTCCTTTCCAATAACACCTGAGCCTTCAATATTACAAAGTTAAAAGAACTGCAGAAAATATTACAAAAACATGGTCGTGTTTTTTCGGGGATTGACGGACACCAACACCAACCATTCGCCGTCTTATATCGAGGACGCTGCTGCATCATTTGTTTGTGGATGTGTTTCAGAGCGAGTGAAACTGAAGCGGACCGACTATCCCCTCGTGCTGAGAGTCATTCAAGGTCCATGCGAGCAGGTCTGCAAAGTTTTCCTCATGGAAGAAGACCTGGGAGAAGAAGTCACGTATGATGTAAGTCACCAGATAGAGATATGACTCTCCAATAAACGTCTTACTCCTTTACTGTGTCGCCTCATGTTTGTTATTGAAATTCTCTGTCTGTCCACCAGGTGGCGCAGTATATCAAGTTTGAGATGCCTGTCCTGCAGAGTTTCATCACCAAGCTGAAAGAAGAGGAGGACCGAGAGGTGCAGAAGCTCAGGAGAAGGTACAGGAAATAATAGCTAATCACTACTGTCATGTTTTAGGTGTTTAGTCTTTTTTTTTTTTTTGATGCGTCTGTGCTGCTTGACATTTATTCCTCCTCTCTTTTCATGCGTGCAGGTATAACTACCTGCGGTGTATAATTGAGAAGCAGCTCAGTTGTCTTCCAGAGGGGGCGACGTGTATGTGATCGGCTCACGGTGAGGCCTCCCTCCACCACACCAAACTGTCAGAAACTTCCCCAGAGTCCTCCTCGCTTACAGCCGCGACCGAGAGCGCGACCGAGAGCCGGCTCACGAGAACATTTTGGGCGACTGTCCTGCTCCTGTGAATTCCTGCCTCTACGTGGGTCCTTTTTTTTCCCAATCCGTCAACCTACAGACTTAAAACTTTAATGTGCTGTGTTGTGTGCATGTTGAGTGTGACCATCTCAGCAATACGACTCACACACTGGACCCAGTGACTCCATCGTTCTCATACAGTGCACACAGAAAGACATTCCTCTAATCGCGAGTGGTTCAAACAGACGAATGAGCCTAAAACAAAACGCCTTTTCTTCCGTCTTCTATTCCAGATAATATTCCAAATCAATTAAAAGCACATGTTCTGAGGGCTTAGTAAAGTGCCTGTTCGAAGGTTTCTCCAAGCACAAAACACACAAACTCTGATCTGTGGGATATTTTTTGTTGTGTGTATAATTCAGTGGAAGTTCTGGGGGGGTTTTAACAGGAAACCGCAAGCGAGCAGATTAGACTCAAACCCAGATACCAGTCGGCACCAAAAGTCCCCATGTGGTTATGTTTTTCTCCTGTCAATAATTAGTTTAATATTGGAACTGATGATCTTCGTTTTATTGCACTTGAAGAGTTCAATGCGGGGATTATTGAAATGCCGTGAGAACAGATCATCTGCTTATCCGCCGCCGGATGTCTGAAGGTTGTCTGGGCTGCCGTCGGACTGAATGTGTCTTGTTGTTTTTAAAAGAAAGTAAAACACTTGCTCGCTTTCTTTGCAGGAGTTTATTTTATTTTGGTGTAACTACAGCCAGCGACCAGTGAGGCTAAAACCTGCTGGACTGGAGACACCAAACACCTCCCAGCATCTGTTTAACACACTGATTAGTTCCAATCTGTAAAAAAGCCAAAGTGTAAAAGTTTTGGGTTCGTGTGACAGACTTTTACTTTTTTGGGGGACTTAGTTTGGCACACACTGCATTTAAACATAGATGATTAATGATAACGAATGACCTGGTGAGCTGCTCGCTGGAGCTTCATTATCACCACACAGACATGAGATTACTCTTAATCTCCTCGACAAACTTGCAGCATGAAATCAGTTTTCTTCCCATTCAGTGGAAGTTTGTATGTTTTAACTACACCATAGATGTAAAAGCCGAACTCCAACAGCTGAGCAATCGCTGATAACTCTCTGTGCAGCAGCAGTTTCATTCTCACTGTCAAATGATCATATAATAATAATAATAATAATAATAATAATAATAATAAGGTAAATTCTTCAGAATGACAGCCACCCTGATATAATTAGAAACCTTTCAGCCCCTTTTGTTCCTTTTAAACACATTTAACTATCAAATAAACGAATGTTCAGGGATGGATTTATTTTATTTCTTTGGACACCTGAAGCACATGAACACAGACGTGAAATCCCACCAGACTGTGAATCCTGCCGATTATCTTTCACTGAGAATGTTTAAAATGTGTGAACGAGCGTTTCGAAGCAGCACGACTTTGCCTCCACGTGTGCAGCACTTTGCGTACGTCTGCTTTTGTCCGTCGGTCCAACATTTCTGACTCTGAGAGCGTGCATGTCCTATTTTTAGCGGCTCTTTCAGACTTGCCTGCTTTTTGTAATTGCGTCTTTTACAAAATAATGAAGAAGAAATTTTAGTCTTTAAAGTGAACTCATGCCACTACTTGGAAAATGTAGATTTCTTTTTTTTTGAACAATGATTGTTATTTAATAAAAAAAAAAGTTGTCTTGGGAAAACATCAGTTTGTCTGTTCATCTCCTTCTGGTCAATGTCGTGGTAACGATGTGTAAATAATGTTGTATAATTTAAAATGATATAACCCCACTTGCTCAGACAGTTCACATGTAGTCATCGTGGAAGCTTGGGGAGAGCTCATTAAGTGTTCTCGTTTGTTCACTCAGCGGGCGCTTAACTAATTCAGATAAAATTAGAAAGACAAATGTGGAGTCACAGGTGTGATGTTGGCGGTACAGCAGCTTACGGTTTGCTCAGCCAATCAGCGCGAGTGAGACACAGTGATCCACTCCACCTGATTGAGATTGTCTGGAGGATAACAGGCTGCCCCTGAAACACACTTTCCCTCAGTCGGTCTGAAGAGTCAGAGCTGCAAGTCGTGTTTCCACCAGTCGCAAGAGGAACTTCACTTCAACCGCTGCTTCCGTCACCAGCAGACACTCAACAGGTGAGATGTTCATTCAATCAGAAACTTTATTTTGTCTTCTTAGAACTAAACTTGTTATTTAATATTTGAAAAATCAGGAAGTTTTGTGTTAAAGTTCAGCTGATTGAGTTTCCCCACATTGTGTGAACAGCCTCAAACTATTTGCACAGATTCAAGGTGCATCTCTAGAAAGCTGCTGCGCACAATGAAATGTTTTATCTTTGCGACGCCGCCGCTGTAATCTGGGAGTCACTGGATTATTCTCAGAGCAAGTGACCCCGTGTAATTATAGCTCCAGTCATCCGTAAGAGGACGCAGATTAGGAGTGTAGACGCTGAAAATGATGTCATGCAGCTCAGCCGTCGTACAGTCGGCGCTGAAAAACATATTTACTCTGTTATCTTATGTAAACACTGTAATCCCACGCTGTAGAGACACTCCACCACTACTTATAGCATTTAGGGTTTAATCTGACTGGAAATATACCTAAAAGTATGAAAGTAGAAGCAGTGACAGTGTTGTATTATATTAGTAAATTGCAGCAACCTTTATAGTCTAATCATTTCTAAAATCTTCCAATGTGTCGTATGTAAATCCTCAACCTAAAGAAAAATATACAGAATTAGGTGGACTAGATGCACAGAGGAGCATAAAATAAAACCTGTTAATTAAAGTACACAAACCTCAAAACTGTAGGTGAGTTAATTTCGTTGCTGTTTTCCACCACAAACATTTTGAACATGTCGAGATGGAGTCACCACAACCTGTTTAGATGTTGGTAGTGGTTTGGTTTGAAAGTTGTTATCAAATATTATTCACCTGAGATTTAACCTGTTATGAGTTTTACAGACAACAGTAGCTGCACAGAACCTTCAGTGTTTGACTTAAACAACATAGAACAGGACAGACACAAGGTACAACAAAATTAAAAGACAACTGCAGTGGTGCAGAAGTATAAAAATAAAAAGACAAATAAGAATATATATACATGTATTTACAAAAGGAGCCAGTAGGAAGTATTTAAAGTTAGCAAAACAGTAGAATGAATATGTTGCACTGTTGAAGTAGGAACAGTGTGGATATATGAGAAATATAAATAAAGAATTATTATAAAATAATATATATGAAATATATACAAAATATATATAATAATTAAAACATAATTATAATATAAATGCAGCACAGTATCATATAAATCATAAATATATGTGATAAACAGACAATGCAGTTCTTTCATCATGTGTTTTTATTATTTATACTATTTGTGGTGGTTTCATGTCAAACATATCCTGCTTTCTACTTGGATCACTGTAGTTACTAAATATAGTATATGTGTTCTGTTATTAATTTAATACGTTATTCTGCAGTATACTCACCTATTGAAGCCTCCCTATACTATACATACTGTTTCTGGGGTTGCATCACTTGTTGAAGTCATCATTTCATTTATACAACATAATTACCTACTTCAGTGTAAACAAATAGCCATCAATCAGACGGGCCTCCTTCACAGATCCAGAACCAGGCTGCATCCAGCCCATGCTAATTGCAGAGCCTTGGAGATTATGAAAGCTATCTGATCCCTCAGCGGTAGATTCTGCTGCGCTGCTTGCGTAAGATGAGTTTCTCAAAGCTGGATTAAGAGCCGTGATCTGCGCTGCTCTTAATTCATCCGTGACGTAAATATTCCACGTTAGAGCAGAACTAAAGCTGCGCTGAGAACATCTCACCGGTTTGTTGGTGTTGTGTGGGAGCGCTGTGTGCTTTCAGGAACCTGTGGTGGAACTTCAGTTGGCGTTTTTACTTATGTACACATTTGAGGTGTTTGTACTGTAGTTGATGTTTTATGCTAGAAATGATTGTACTTGTTCATTTGACAGCTGTCGTCACCAGTGATGTTAAAAATTAAGATTTTGCTCACAAAATACATGATTACCTTCTAAACTAAACCTCTTACCAGTTTATGAGTCAGTAATGTAACCACTAAATACGTTTCTTTGAATATACTTTAAAAGTATTATTTCCTAAATGGTCCCTAATTAATCTAAAAAGTTCACAATCATTTAAAAAGAAAATGTATTCATGCATTTTCTTTGCCTACAGAATCTAATATGCTTATTTCTCCTGAGATGCAAGTAACAAACTATGATTAATGACAGAAGCAGAAAACAGATGCCTCTGTTTCTGGAGCAGTAACAAATGGACTCCTGCTGATGTTTTCTTAATCTTGTTTCTGCAGGTTAGACGTCATGTTGGTTCTGCACAAACTTCCTGTCACAGCGACTCTGTGTTTGCTTCTCCTGGCCACGCTACTGCCCGACTCTGAGGCCCGCCGCGGTCGTGGAGGCGGCGGCTTCGGCCGAGGAATGGGAGGTGGAGGCTACAACCGGGGCTACGGCGGTCAGGCCTCCAGACCCGTCCAGACCGGTGGGTCCAGTGCAGGAAAGGTAGCCGGGGCAGCTGCTGCAGGAGCGATAGGAGGAGCCATGCTGGGTTCTGCCCTGAGCCGCCCTGGGTATGGTGGAGGGTATGGAGGATATGGAATGGGATATGGTGGAGGTTATGGTGGTGGATACGGAGGTTATGGAGGGGGCTATGGAGGAGGATATGGCTACCCGCGGTATGGAGGTGGCGGCGGTGGCTTCAGGTCTGAACCAGAGGGCTCTGGAGACATGGGCTACTTCACCGGAGCATCCAGTGGGCCCATCTACAACAGCATCATCGTGGTCATCGGCTCCCTCGTGTCCCTGCTCCTGGGCCACTGGGTGGCAGTCATGTAAAGCCGGACAAAGACCTGAGATCACCAAAAATAGCCACAGCACCCACCCCGGTCCAAAAATACCCCGTTACCTGACCGTAAAGAGGACTAGACCTCCAGAGAATGAAAAGCTGCAGCTAATTGGTTTTTCTGACGCTTCAGTGACCAACCCTGAGGACGAGAAGATGAATGTGACGTCCCAGTGTGACTCCATCTGCAAACGTCCTGCTAAACATGAATCTGATTCAGTGTGTTACAAATAATTCTTCATGAGAAATGTGTAAAAACAGACCAGGAATAAATTAGATCTCAAGTTAAGTCTACCTCAAGCAACCACCAGTGTTTAAGAGCAGCTACGCACTTGATGTAACAATGCCATTTTCAGTATTTTTCATCAACTAAATAAATCATTTAGGCCGCTTGTGATTTACATTCTGCATATGAGGAAGTTTATTTTCAAGTATTTTGCTTGTATACAGACAGTTTTATCTAATTAAAGTACATATTTTATGCCATTTTGTAGTTTTTTTTATGTAAAAAAGAAAAGATGAAGGGGTTTCCATGTTTAATATTGTTAAACAAATAAAAAAAATACCAAAACTGAATAACATTTGTGTTGAACTTTATTCCCTTTATTATAAGACACAGAGCAGAAACCAAGACGAGGAGAAAATTATTAATTCTGAGTAAACAGCATCCGCCAAAACCAACACGAGCTCCAGCGTCTTGTTTGTTCCTGAGCTCTCATCTCATGATCGATAATCAGCACACGGCTGTAAAGCTGACGGAGAGGCTGCTGCAGCTAAATGTGCTCGTCAGCATCTCAGCACATGCTTTGACTGCATTTTGATTCTGTGTTGTAGCATGCTAACAGCTGCTTTCTAACAATAAAGTCAAACTACAGGGTTGGACATCATAGAATTAATGGACAAATGGGGGTTTTTGGGGGTTTTTTTGCGATTGATCCAAAGAGGAATGTCTCACAGAATGTTACTGCCAGACCATGTGGAATTTTTTGAAAACCACAAACCAGTCAGATGATCATTACAGTCATTAGGATTCAGTCTCTGTGCCCAGGAGGCCCTTCAGCGATCCATCCATGCACGCTTCATTTATAATTTACGAACGCTGCCCTCACTAATGCAGTGAGAGACAGAACCGTGGACGCTACTATGACTCCCAGGGCCCATGAAAAAACCGACAAGCCGTTCATCACGAGAGGCAGCAGCTTTGACAAAACAGAATTTACAACCAAACCTGCTGCACAGAGTTGAGATGAGCCGACGTTTCCTACCACGTCTAGTGCGTCTTTATTCAGGTGCTGTACTGAAGCACACAGTTGAGACACTTGTGCAACTTTCTGCTCCATGACACCACATTGAACTTTTTACTTCAGCCTCAGTAACTTTTCAGATTTTTCGTAGCCTTCCTGTGCAGCAACAACTCCATCTTCCTCTGTGACAGACTAAAAGATGAAGTTTATGAGTTGAGAATTTGCTCATACTTCAGATGTGTGAAGGAGAAAATCCACCACCAGAAAGCCGAACACGGGGTTTGTTTTTAGAGATATCTGGACGCGTACGACGGGAGCTCAACCTAAAACGTCTACAGCGACAACCTGTGACATTAATGCAGCAGAAATATATTTAAAAATCCATATATAAGAGTAAAAAGTAAGGACTTCTACTTGTGTTCTCTCAGTGCGGTATTAATACTTAACGATCTTCTACAGCAAAAATAGAAGACGCGCAAGTATACCACACGATTGAATAATTTATTTACAGCAGAAATAGGACAAATAAGTGAGCGGGAGGCGTCTGCGGAAGTCAATAGCGAGGCACCCACTTCCTAACTGCACGGATGTGGTGTCGTAAACAGCAAAGGCTGCAACTAAAGGCAACATAGAGGGAGAAGAGCTGAAGAGTTCATTTGCAAAATCAGATAACTCCATCTTCTCACACCTTCAGAAAACCCACAGTTCCATCGTCTACCTGAGACAGCATCAATCAAACTGAAGTTGTCTCTATTTTTGTCATTTCCGACGGAGTCAAATCCACTCAGCTTCAGTTTGATTGATGTCATCTCAAGCAAACAACAACAACAAAAATACATTTTCTGAACATCTACAAACATGGAGTTTTCTGTTTTTTTGCAAATGAACTCTTCAATTATTCTAAGTGGCTGCTGCTTCAGGCTTACATGAGCACCAAGGACACCGGAGCAGGTGTATCCGGTGCCGCCTGTATGTTCCCTGTCGAGTCCTGCAGAACGCAAACAGCAGTAAACAAAGCAAAGGGCTGTGACATGTCATCACCTCGCAATATGTTCAAAATGAGGAGATCTGTTTTTTTAGGTAGAATTTGCTGCTTTTGTACTTATACAGGATATATACGTGTAATAGAGCTTTTATATTGTGCATTTTTTTACAGTTTGGTAATTATCATACTGTCCTTTACCACATAAAAATAAATAAATACGTAATAACTAAACTTCACTAAGCGGCTCAGGTGGTTGAGCGGGTTGTCCTCCAGTCGCAAGGTTAACGGTTCGATCCTCTCCACAGTCGACGTGTCCTTGGGCAAGACACTGAACCCGAAGTTGCTCCTAATAGCAGGCAGCAGCTTGCATGGTAGTTCTGTCGCCACTGGTGTATGAATGTGTGTGAATGGGTGAATGAGAAAAGTGCTACATAAGTGTAGACCATTTAAACTTGTGATATTAAGATATACCAACAAAAGCACACATCATAGTAACTAACTCTTTCCTAAAATGTCGTCTTGAGGCTTCCATTAGGTCACAATAAGCATCGTGAATCATCAAATAATTAGATTTTAGTCCACCATAAAGCGTTTATCCTAACCGTCGTCATTTTCCTTTCGGTTATGAATGTGTAACCGAAGCTTTAAGTCAACATTTAACCAACCAGCTCTAAAAGTAATCAAACAAAACATCCACAAATGCAAGTTAGTAAAGTTTATTGACCGGACAAGCAAAAAGTGCAAGTAAACCCTCAGCAGAACATTCTTCAGCAGGTTAGTACAGAAAACGTCCTCGCGTAGGAAGCGAGACGACGGGAAACGATATGTCATTTGTGCAAACAGCTTATTACGACCCATAGTTACGTTTCAGCGGGATTGCGCCCTCTGGTGGCTACAGTAATTCTGATCGTGTGCAGGAGGAGGTGGTCGGGGTGGATGGGTGGGTTGACGAAACGCTGCGCATCAGGACAACAGGCTGCTTTTCATTTCTCATTTTAAACCAGCATTATTGTTTTTTTTAACCACAACCTTAACCGCATACTTATTATTATAATACTGACAACGAAGGTGCTCTTTTTTTCTTTAACTTTCTGAAACTCACAACGTTGTCTTGGTGACAAAGTCTAAGCAGCAGAAGCTTAAAATATCTAAATTTCCTGCTCCAGATACAGGGGCTAATTCCGAAAACGCTCTTATGGGTCATATTCAGGACCTATATATATATATATATATGATTTTCAGGACAGAGGATTATTGATACATGTGCATTTTCAAATACATTCAAAGCCAGACACGAGATAACACGGACTACATACAGCAACACGCTAAAGGTACACTGTGGAGTTTTTCTGCCGTATGCTTAATCCTAAATGGAATAAATCAGATGTTTTAGGACAGGTTGGTCATGTTTGTGTGTGATCAAAAACTCCAAAGAGTACTTTTAATCTGCTTTTTCTTTTTTAGTCATCACCTTCAATGACTAAGAACACTCTTGTACAAATGTACTGCACAGATCTTGATACCACAAACACAGCTCATAATAATACGAGATAACATTCAGCAGGTTAGAGATCAGAACTGGTACATGTGGGGTTTCACACTTTAAGAGCACTTCTGAAATCACTAGAGTGGAGAGAAAAGGCAAAGCTCTGGATGGAAGGAGGCGAATATGTAAAAAAAAACAAAACAACGTACTCGACAAGCAACACGTGGAAAAGTGTCGCACAAACACAACTTATCAGGAAAAGAAAAAGAATTTAAGTGGCATCAGGACAACAGCATGAATGCCATCGTCTGTTTGGTGTTTATCTAAATAAAATCAGCAGATAACTATTATTGGCCTTTTTTTGGTTTCTAAATGCACTGCATGTTATAAAAGTGTTTGAAGCTGTGAAGACGGGAGTAGATATGATTCCTTTACAAATACTCAGTCATGCTTATAGTGTAAAATCTCTAAAGCACGGATATTAGCTCACCATCGCTAGTAGTAATAGTAGAATAAGTTATTACTAGACGAGTAAAAGCCAGGTGATAATCAGTCCTTTTAGATACTACTTGGTGTTTTCCGACTCTTTCTACTGTCTTTGACGTTATTACATCCACTTAAAGCACACCTGCAGTATTTTAATTTATTTACACAGACCTTCTTTGCCAGAGGTGCTGGCCTCTAAACCCTCTAAATGCTTTTTCCACTAAGGTTCAAAAAGACAAAGGCCTCGCCAGCTGCCTAAATAAATACATGAACAATAAAAACAAACTTTATTTCTGAAGAGTCGCTGGCAGTGTCACTCTGAATTTCTAGGTCTCCGGCTACAGAGCGGGTAAATCTGAACAGACTTTAATAGGCCAGACAAGCGATATCAAAACCTTGGAGTATTAGCGCACAGTTAATGGACCCTTTCTCTTTCAGAAGAGCAAAAAGCTCTCTAGTTTAACCTTTCCCCTTCCTCTCCTCTAATAATTACATTGCAATCCATTACGTCTGCCAGCTGTGTGGTGCCAGTCATGCACTTGCAGGATGAATCAGTGCCTTCAGAAAGCACAAAAAAAAAAAAAAAAGGAGCAGTTCAAACAATAAAGTAGAAGTTCACAAATGATTAAGAGGTAAGAGGTTAATCCTGTCCTAATTATTTACCATCCACTTACGTCATTTGTTTAACACGCTCTCCATCACCTCCTCTGGATATGAAGGCCTCAGTGCAGCAGCGTTAGCATGTTGCTATTAAGCAGCATCAGTATAGTACTAGTGACCACAGCTAAAAGCCCCCGCAAGCCCATCTCCAGTCCTTGCACCCCTCCAGTCTGTCTCTTCAAGTACTTTTCAGAGTAAATCATGTACAGCTCCAAGCATCTCCTGGCCTTCAGCTGCTCAATCAGCGCCGGGTATCCGATCTCCACAATGCTGACCGTATCGTCTACTTCATTACTGCCGACAGCCACTGAAGCCGTGGCCACAGGGCGGACTTCGGGCTGATTCAGAGTGCGAGGAGTCGAAGGTGCAGGGGTCGAGGTGTTTCCTGCAGCACTGCTGTTGGTCTCTGTTGAGTTGCTGCCAACGTCTGAAGCCGAGACGATAACAGTAGTCGTCGTAGATTTAGCTGCGGGAGTGACAGCTGGCTTTCTGTTTGCTGGCAGAAGGTCATTTCTCTTCATGCATTTGTCCATGTATGTATCATAGGTCTCAGGGGGTTGATCGTACCTGTAGTCTCTGCTGTAGTCATTGGTATCAGTAGACTTGGTGCCGTACCTCCTGTACATGTAGTGGTTGTAGTAATGTTCCTCCTGCGGGTTGCGGAGGGGGAAGTGAGGACGGGGGAACTTGCCTATCCCGTAGCCCACGGCCATTCCTGCCGCGGCCCCTCCAGCTGCCGCCACTACTGCAGTGCGTCCGAACCCTCTGGATTTATCAGAGGGACCGTAGCCCATCGCCTTTACTGAGTGTGAGAAGGGAGAGCCATATCCAGTGCCATAACCCCAATAACCATAGCTGCCACCATACTGAGGGCTCAGGATTTTGTTGTTTGGGTTCTTGTTGATGTATCCGCCTCCGTAACTACCATAACCTCCATAACCACCTTGTCCACCATAGCCTCCGTAACCACCATAACCACCTTGTCTACCATAACCACCTTGCCCACCATAGCCTCCATAACCACCTTGCCCACCATAACCTCCTCCATATGGGGAACCTGGGTTCTGGTTGGGGTGGCCCCCTGCGCCCGGCTGCCTGGGGTAATTGCCTTGGCCAGTTTGTCCAGGCTGCTTTGTGTTTTTGCCTGTATTGGAGTTAGTGTGGGTGCTGCCTCGGTTGGATGTGGAGGTCTTTTTGGAGCTGAAGCTTTTCCCGAAGCCGCCTCCTCCTCCTTTCTTGGCCAGCGAAAAGGGGGTATTAAGCAAAAGAAGTGACAGACAGAGCACGGATAATGGATTGAGCTTCATCTTCACCCTGTAGGGAGGGTCGAGGAGAGAAAAGGACAAATAAGGCAGAGAAAAGTCAGGAAAAGATGAGATATGAGCTCTAGAAAATTGCATTTACTGTAATGGATTCAACCACTTTAACTTTCACAATTAGAAATGTTACTGCAGTCAATATTTTACACTGTCAGATGTTCATTTTCCATATGAAGCAGCTATATCATGTCCATTATGAAATCTCAGTTCGTACTTCTGTCGCCAAATGATAAGAGTGAACGATGTCAATATTTAAACTGAGGAGAAATAAAATGGCAATTTAGCGTGATTGTAAAGCAGCAGTGTGATTAATTAAGTTTATTAGAGCTGCAATTAATTATTATTTCCACTGCTGATAAATCTGTTAATTATTTTCTTGATATTTGGTCAGTTGTTTACAGTAGCTGGTCAATAAAATGTCAGAAAATGGTGAAAAAAATGTCAATCGGTGTTTCCAGAAGCCCAAAATGGCGTCTTCAAACATGTTGCTCTGTCCACGACCAGAACATGTTCAGCTCCCTGTCATAAAGGAGGCGAGGAATCAGAAAATATCCACGTTTAAGAAGCTGCAATCTGAGTTTTTTCTTTTAAAAACTACTCAAACAACTCATCAGCTATCAAAATAACCGGGGATGGATTTATTTTATTAAACAGCTCATTGATTAATTAACTGATTAAGGTTCAGGCAGGTCCAGTGCTTGCTGTCAACCGGTGGTGGAGGATCAAACAAAGCTGTTTGGACAGAAAAAAGCGAACAAAAGGAGTTCGGATGGAGCTGAGTTAATTATTGATGAAGCCTCTGAGCTGTTGAACACACACACTGCTGATTTATCAGTGAATGTGCAGTAATATCTATTTAGCGATATAGTTTTTTGGGTGAGTCTCCATGGGAACATTTACATGCAACAACAACAACAACAACCTGCAGCATCATTTACTAGGGTGGGTCGGACAATCTGTGATCTCATGAAAGTCATAAATACAGAAGTCACAGAGACACAGCCAGCATTTTTTTTTCTTTTCTCCAATAAATGCATCAACTAATGACGATTAATGAACAACAGCTGAGTCTATCCTCAGTAAACTAAACAGGAAAATCACTTTTATTCACTTTAAAATAAGTGAAAATGATGACTTTTCCCTCTGGCCGGATGAAAGGTGTGGCAGCTGACACCAACACAGATGTGTTTGTGATGCTGATGATGCCACACCTCCAGCTGGACCACATCCTCACAGCAGCTGCAAACCCAGACACTGGTTCTAGTGAATGATGTTATGCATCAGTAACCTTGCATTGAACAGACTGTCCTGTCCGCTGCCACTGTCCCTTTATTTAGTTAGAAGATGGCGCTTGTCAGATAGCTGTCCACTTACACTCCGTGAGAGATGAGCTTCAAAACATCACGTCCTGAGTTGAAGCGGTAAAAAAGGCGCAGCTGCACGACGCGCAGCCTTACCTGGACTGATGACAGCTTCTCTGGCCTCCCTCCGCTCCCGGCTTCCAATCCACCCTCAGCGAGCCTCACCGGAGCCCGTTTACCTCCGCGGAGTCGGTCTGTTACCGTGTGGACCGTTTGGAAACTGCCCCCTGTCTGACGTAATGCTGCACGAGGGATGATGTGGGTCGCATGGAAACAGAGGAGAGGGGCGGGGCTTACCTTGCCTCATTTCCCAGCATCCCGAGCAACACGATGATGTCGTGACATCATGTGGAAAAACACACACCCTGTAAATCATTTACAGTGCAGGACAGAGGTGAGCAAACAGCAGCGAGCCTCTCAATTACATTAAATCTCTACAAACTGAGGAGTGTCTCCTCAAAAACAAGCTACTTTTTGAGAGACTAAATTGAAAAACCACAGGCCCTGGAGTGGAAATGTGATGCAGCAAAAGTAAACTGTGCCACACCCATGGTCGCTGAAACAAAACAGATTACACTTGGCATTTCCGGGAAGCCTGATTGTGTTTACGTGGTTCTGAAATGACCTGCAATCACCAGAACTTTCTCAGTTTGGGAACTTGTCTGCGTGTCGACATCACGGCTCCACATGATGGACGAGAGGAACTGAATTATTTCATTGTGGAACATCACGGAGATTCAATAAAGGGATGCAGGAAGGCTACAGATCACCAGAAATCTGTCAGAACACAGCAGTAAGGAAGAGACGCTACACGACAAGTAGCCGTGCAGAGTCGCAATTTAAACCAAAGTGGTTTTCTTCTGACGTGGCACCAAAGACAGCGAGCCTTTGTACAATCTAGCTGAAAAACAGACTTCAATCTTGGGTTATTAATGAAAATCTGAGCTTCTGTGACAGTTCAGACTGTACAAAGGACAGTATTTAGTGTCAGCTTCTGTTGACAGTGTCCAAGAAAAAAAGCACAAACCTGCCAGATTCAACTTTTCCAAAGAACATGCAAATGAAAGCCTGATGAGTTCAGGGTAAATGTGTCCAGCCCAGATGGAATCCCGAACCTGTTCAGGAATACCACATTGACTGCACAGTTCTGTCACAGGTGGAAAGTGTGACGATGAGTGCAAAACATGTTTTGGAGTTTATAGATGGCACCATTATTGCCTGTGAATATATCAAAATACTGGCTCACGGGTCGACTCCCCGTCAGAGGAGGAATATTCTGTTAGCGATCCACAGCACACTGCTAAAGAAGAAAAACTGTGGCAAGCGTGTCACCTGACTTGAATCCAATCCCAACACCTTAAGGATGCTTTTTTTAAAGAGAAAAGTAAAACAGCAGCACCTCCTACAATGAAGAGCATTTGGAAAGAAAATGTCAGAACATCTCAGAGATGTGTGCAACACTCGAGTGTATCAGCAAAAAGAAGCAAACATTTCAAATACTGAGGGAAAAAAACAGCATTTTAATCTCAGTAATGAAAGATGAAAGGCGTTAAGTTCCTACTGGGAAGTCCTAATTTTTTATTTCGTACATGACTGAATACTGTCCAACTCGACAGTCATGCTGTTGCTGTAAGGTGATCCAGCTATGAACCATCTGACATTTAAGTGATGCTGCACATCCGTGTACTCGCCTCTGTTGTGTTGTTGTGTATACGACTTCAGTAAATGGCAGCATGGGTGGGTGGGGGTGGGGGGGAAGTGCTTTTAGCCTACTCAAGTAATGTTCAGCTGTGAACTGCTTTACTGCTTCCATTTCACTCATATATCATATTTTAGAAAGCTGTGTCATAGTTTTGCCTCCACTTCCTTTATCTGAAAACAACATTAATTACTTTGCAGATAAGCTTTATTATAAATCATGATACAATAAGGTCTTATATTAAAATACCCAGTAATATATAACAGATCAGATAACTAACCAGGATACTGTATAATAACTGGGGCTAATTAGGTGCTGACAATACATCCTATGAGCAGCATAAATACATGATGGTTTTCTACTTTTGTGCACATTTCATTGTGATATATGTATTGTGGGATTGCTCGTTTATTGATAATAAAATATCTGAATTCTTCTTCCATCACTAAATAATAATGGAAACAAATACAGAATGTTTAGGTTTCCAGTTTCTGTATTAAATGTTTTTGTTCAACACCAGAAATAAGGGGATCCCAGCGTAAACAGCCACAGCAGCAGCAGCAGAGGTTTTAAACTTCCACTAAACCTAAGATGCACTTTTTAAAACTGAAATCTTTCTGGGGGGTGATGTCATATTTTTTGTTGTCGTTGTTGAAGCACTGATTCGAAGAAAAACAGCAGTTTATTGGCCCCATGATGTTTTTGTGGTAGAAGCAGAATGATTTTAAAGAGTTCTCGAAGAACAACCGGTTGTGGCTGCTTTTAAGGGGAATTCCACAACGTTCACAGGGTTTCCTGAAAATCCTTCTCTAACTTCAGTGAACCCTCTGGCTTTGTTCTATGTTGGCGTCCATTCAGTTTGTTTGTGGCCATTTGTGGCCACGTCCACATTAAGTCTGTACATTTTTAGATTTTTTAAAAATGTTTTTTGCTACTTTAAGTGCATAAAGTTTTTAACTAACCTCAGTTCTTATCGTTCATATAAAATATTTATTCCTTTTTAGTTTTTTAACCCTTCAAATGCCAGTTTGTTTAAGCAATGCACTGAAAAATGACCATCATCTATGCTCCCTGTGCCTCTGGGTTTTCTTGCTATATTAAAAAAAACAGTCTGAGATACGCAACTGATGAACAGCAGCACTGATTATTATGCGTTATTATTTTTGAGCAAAGAGAGAAAAGTAGATAAAACTCCCACTCAGCGTGTTCGTGGCATGTTTACGTTCCCAAAATGCTTTAAAAATAATATATATCAACCGATTTTTCCACTTTCACCACTTGATTTTTTTAAATTTGCACCAGTTCTGACCATGAAAACCAAAATCTCATTCAAATTCAGAATTTTAAGCCTTTAAATGTCTGTTAGATCTCATCATGCTGATGATTTAGAAAGGGAGAGAAACAAAAAAAAAACACTTTTTTAAACCAAATAATATAATGCATGTCAATAATTAGCAGTATCAATGATTTTTGTGCATCATTACCTTTTTGTGCAGTAACAGAAAAAGAAGGAAAACTCCCACTCAGCGTGTTCGTGGCCAAAAATGGCCGCCTCCTGTTTTTACAAAATGCTATTTAAAAAAAAAACACATATTAACATTATTTTTCTACTTTCAACAGTTAAGTTCTTTAAATTGGAATCAGTCCTGACCATGAAATCGAAAAAAATAACCCTTAAAAAAAAAAAAAAAAACACTCGACTGGTAATGTGATAAAGGTACAGTAGGTTCTGAGGTGAGTTTCAGGGGATCTATTGGATTTTTTTCACCTTTTTGTGATCAAAAACTATAGAGGCAACATTTCTGAAGTGCTTGATTTGACTTTTGTTCATAATTATTCCTCATAATAAAGAGATTAATAAGAAGAATAAGAAAACAGTGCCGTGGGTGGATTGGTGTGTTTGCATCAAGAGTTTTTCTTCTAATCTTTGAGTTAAATTGAGTTTATCAACTGCCCGCCACGCCTCAATGGAAATGACTTGGTGATGAATCATCTTTATGCATGAATCAGACAATTATAGCCTAATTGTATGATAAAGATTCAAGAAAATAGAAAAGCATTGCAAAAATAATATACTGTCAATATTATATAGATGCTCCCTAATTTCATAAATCGTGTTTTCAATGGAGCTCATGTCTCACAACGAGGAGCCAAGTTTCCATCGGCTCCCAATTTAGTTTGTACACTGAGTTCTATTTAATATCGCCACATCTCATGTGATTATTCCCTCGGGCTTGTTACATTTTAGGAGCATGTCTGCCCTCGCACGCCACCCCAGAGAGTGGAGAGAGGCCGAACATAGCGGGGAAGGGAGGCAAGTGTATGAAACGTATCTCAAACAAGATCAACAACAGCTGTACAAAGAGAGGGCGGCGCACGGCGTTGTGTTGATTATCACTACAACTGAAAACCAAATCATCCTTAAACAGGATTTTAGACAGGATTTCTGTCTTTCAGGTAAACTTGTGGTGATTAAATTATGTTTAGTACACAATGAAAACAGTTATAAAATGATCCATTACCAGTACTCAGTTGCATTCACAATGGTAATATTTTAATATTTACTGCATTCTCATCACTCAGTGTAATATTCACTCTTCATTTCTGAACTGTCCTTAAATCAGACAGTCCTCCAACATTAGCACAACACAAGTTCATATAATTACTACATACTAGTATCACATATTCACATCACCACAGTAACACAGTCTGTATCATTGCCAGGGTGCAAAAAAGAAATCCCCCAACACGTTGACACTGGTGAGACTTTTTTCAATGAAAAAACAAGAGTGCAAGTGTACAGCTATGTCTATGGCTCAATAAGACACAATGGGGCTTTTGGTTAAACACTAATTTCAGCGTGTTAATATGCTCACAGTGTTTAAAACGTTTTGCACAAAGTTCAGCTCAGGCTGATAAGAATGTAAATAATTTTGCAGGTATTTGGTTATAAATCAAAACCAGCTATTGGACAAAGATAATTGGACTGATGGTAGCATTAAAAGGAACGGTTTACAGTTCATCCTGATAATCTACCCACAACTCATCATATGTTACTAAAAACCAAAAATGGCAGGCTGTTGTTCTTTAGGGACTGCAGATATATGAACAAATATTGATGGAAGTTTGCTTAGCACTTGCCAAGATAGTTTCGATCTAAACAAGAATAGTGGACCAATGAATGACATGTTCATACCAGGAGACATTCTGCTTTAACACTTTTTTTTGTTGTGCACCTTTAATGAGATTTCTCTATCACGTTCACTGCGAATAAAGGCCTCAGTGCAGCAGCATTAGCATGTTGCTGTTCAGTAACATTAGTATAGTACTTGTTACCACAGATAAAAGCCCTTGCAAGCCC